TGCACAGCTTGCATGAAATCTGGATGGGCATCCTCCAGAGCTATCTCTGGTAAGAGATCCATCCATGAGTTTTTCACGCGCTGTAGCACGATCTCAAACTTGGCAATCCAAGTCACAAAGTCTTGGTTGCCCTTCCATGCCTTGAATAGGCCGAGGAAACGCCACAGGAAAACGTACTGTTCTCCTTTCACGAAAAATGGACGCATCTTCTTCTTGAAGTAATCTACTCCATCTGGGGCTGCAAGCCTTTCTCGGTTCAGTGATTCCTTTTGTACTGCGGCCAATCCGGAGAGCCTCGTCTTGAGAGACGGACCTCTTTTGGTGTCATCCAGCGTTGTTATGTCGCACCAGTCGTCAATCAACTGTTCATACTCAAACCACGAGGTGGTGCCATCATAGGCAGGCGCGATCTTGGGCGTTATGCCTAATGATGCAAGCATGCGGTCAGATGTTGCATATGACTGTGCGACATAAGTGGCTGGACCTTGGGAGGTCTCTTCGTTCTCATATCCCCCGGAGGATTGGGAACTGTCGTCGGCTTCGCTATGCGAGCTCGACATTGTGCTGCCTCTTATCCGCTTGGTTAAGCGTTCGGCGAGGCCGACCGCTGTAGCGGACTTTGGGAGGCGGGCGGCCCTTTCCGGGCTCCGCTACCAGAAAACTGAGCCGATACACCCACAAGGAAATGCTCCTTGTTAGGAGGTGTATGACCAGTTTATTCCCTAAGGATCAAAGGGCAGCGCCCTGCACACGGACAGTAGTTGTTTTGTCTTGCTACGCAAGGAGAGCTTGTCTTGTCTCAATATGGTAAAACCACTGTGAGCCAATGGGCAGCGGAATGTATATGTATGAGCATGCAGCCATTGCTGTAGGTACCTGTTAGAGCTACCCCTTTAGAGGTTTACGCAAACAGGGGGCAAAGGGTCGAAGCCTGTTGTTTCCATTACGAGTCGGAGCACAGCATCCAAGACTTGGTTTGGGGTGTCACGGAGTGCTTGCGTGTTGACGAGGAGTCAGTGCCTTCTTCTGTGCTGAGGGTTGGGCTGGCACTACTTGGTGCTGTTGCCATTCATGCGTCGGGTTTGCAAAAACAGGCCGACGGGTCTGATGGGTCTGGCGAGAAGGTGCAGACAATCGCAGAGATCGTGGGCAAGCATGCGAAGCCGCTTGCTTTGATTGAGAACGAGCAGGGCGAGTTGGTCTTCAACGAACAAGCGATCGAGGGCATGATTGTTTGCCGAGCACTTTACATGCTATTGGGTTTGAGACAGGTAATTGAGAAGCCCTTGGAGCCCCAGAATTTCGTCACTGTGTCGGATGTGCCGTCCTTGCCAGCCTTTGCTTCCCTTCTTGACTACTTGCTGAGCAAAGATGGCAAGTCATATGTCATGGAAATCGAAAGCCGCTGCCATTTCGCTCAGAAGTCCCAGAAGTCACAAGGTTCCAAGGATTCCAAGGCGGCATCCTCGGAGTCCGCCCCTGATTTGTGGTGCTCGACTTGGTCGAGAGTTCTCGGGGTCGCGGTGCGAGCCCAAGCTCAGGCCGCGAAAGCGGCGGCGGCAGAGGCGGAGAATGTCGATCAGCAGGGGCCCGATCCCAAACGTGCTAAAACAACAAAGCCGGCGAAAGACTCCAAGGGCCCAGAAGTGCAGATTCAGCCTCCGGCCGACCCAAAATCGTGGGCGGACTTCTTGCCAAGCTCAACAAACCTCTTTTCCACGAAGTCGTTGGCAGACACCTTCCTGAACACGATCACAACTCCGACTGCGACCAGTCCCAATGAAGCAGAAGCCACAGAAGCCGTGAAAAAAGAGGCGGCGACAGCATCAGCATCAGCAGCAGCAAAGCCGCAGGCTTCGGAATCGGCCAAGCAAGTTGAGCTATTGAATAAGACTCCGACATTGGCTAGCATCTACAACATGCACAACCTTGCCGGTGCCAAGTCCTTGAATGTGCTTGATGTGTTGGCTGTCGGGATGCAGGTGCAAACACACATGCTGCAGAAGTCGGCGTGGCCCGTCGCCGTGTGTCACCTTTTGTGGCTTTCATTTGATTGCTTCGTAGAGTAATAAATGATTAGCAGTGAATGGCTCACCGTGATATCGTGCAATCGTGAGGCAAGGGTCCAGTTCAATCCTTCTTGGTTTGCTTCAAGTGGACTTGAAATCGCAGCTGATGATCAATGTCATTGATGCCGCGAACACTTTGAGTGAAGAGGACGAGGATAAGCACATCTTGTACATGCACGGGCATGTCACAGCGGAGCAGACGGCCAAGTGTGTGAAGGTTGCGGGTGCAGGATCACATGCATTTGTTGTAGTGTCATAACCGCTTCCCATGATGCATGCATGACGATGCCGATGCCCATGTCATGTGTTTGCCAGTGTTTTGCCGGTGTGTGACTTTGCTTCATCATGGACTTAAATGTCATGAAGGATGCAATCATGCATTGGCACTTCCCATAGGTGGCTGAAGCAGTGTTTAACGATGGGCCAGTCAGCTACTACATGCACGGCGACAATTTCAGCAAGACCACCAGTGCTGCCCCAAATGCCATTTGGATGATGAAGACCGGCTATGCCGAGGATAAAGCTTTGTTTGCTGCCCAATCCCACGAAGTGACGCTACAGTTTCCAGATGCGTGCGGAACTGAGTTGTTGTTAAGCTTCGAATTTTGAGATTCGCATGTGTTAAAGCATGGCTAAGGCACGGATGTAATCGATCGGTCACTATCACGGAGCACTCGGCAAAGCTTCGGATGAAGGCATGCACTTTGTTGATCGATGGTACAGTAGTCAGTAGTCATTGAGTCATTGAGGCATTAGTCATGAAGTCATGGGTTCATGATTCGTGTTGGAGTCGGAGTGTGTTGGATGCTGACATGAACGGCACGGCATGAGCGGCGTGAGCAGTGCTTCATTCGCTTGATTGATGTTCGGAGTCATGTCAGATATCATGTCTTTGATTCCTTGAGTCATGAGTCATGAGTGCTAAACGTGAGTGTGCGGCCATGTTTTTGCAAGGCATTGGCGGCTTTGGCCCGTAAGCAGGGTAAGGCAATCGAAGATGCAGCCGGTGGGGTGTTGTGCACTCGGTCGAATTTTCCGGGCGAAACAGCCGATGGTAAAGGTGCCGGGCGAAAGGCATCATCGTTTGCATCGAATCAGGTGCTGCTGGGTGGTGTTGCTTTTGCCGGCAAGCTTGCAGAAGCAGACTCGCAAGCTCATGCTCATGAGCAAAGTTGAGCTGGCCGCAGATGATCTGTGGTTTCTTGCTGGACCTGCACCCAGGATGTGCCAGCACTTGCTCCGCTGAGTTCGTCGAGTAAAGTACTGAATAATTGATTCGTCAATGCATTTGTCGTCACGTGCACTTGTACCGTCCATGCACTGCATAAGCCTGCAACATGACACTGCTGCAGTGCTTGACCAAGCATGCTTTTGAATGTGGGTCCCAGGAGACGCTTGTGAAAACTAAGTTCATGCCCTGCTAAATGCTATGTGCAGATGGTTCGTTTCAATTGTATAATACTCTAGATATGTCACGGCGATCACGGACCCATACTTCCCGGCTTGAACGGCACCGCACCACGTCGCCTGTTTCACCAGATGGAGCTTCTTGTGGACTGTGCTGCAAAAAAATGCTGATGTCGCGACAACAGTCCAGTGTCAGCTGCTGCGGCTTGAATCAACATTTCCGATCCTCCGCAATAGTGTGATCGTAGTCCCAAACATTGAGACTTATTAGGTCTCAGCTCGCGAATTCTTTATAAATGAGTCTGCAATTCATCATACAATAACTTTCTTCAGCGAAAAAAACATACATTCAGGCAGCGGGCCCGCATGACACAAAAAACCACGAAACCGCAGACCTGATACACGAGAGCCCGCCGGGCCTCAATCTGTAAGCAAACCATGCCACTGCGGACGGGTATCCTTCAAAATCCTGTCCGCACATCTTTTGCTAGTCGGTTCCAGGAGTGACGTTTCAAATCTGAAGCCCCCTTTTGATGCCCTCCACTTACCTTTGGTTAGTAGGGAATGGAGGAATGGGGCACAAATACAACTGCTATTACTACCATTCTTCCATTCCCTACTAACCAAAGGTAAGTCAAAGCAGCCACACGGCGGCGCTCCCCAAACGACTCGACCACCTGTAGCCCGACATCCCAAACCGCAAGATGCCAACACTAAACCCCAAACCACCCTGGCCCACAAATCCCGTAAGCCTTCCAGCCTCAAAGGCCACACGCCCTCTTAAACCCCAGGCCTTAACACCCCAAAAGGGCTTTCAACATCTTTCAACCTAAACTAGAAAGCCTCAAACTCGAAGAGTTCAGGACTCCCCGCAAGTGGTCTTATGCTTGTCGGACTCAGTTTCCGTGCCACCCCGAAGAGGGATGAGCAGAAGCTTGCAATCTTGGGTCGTAAGCCTACCTTCATCACAAAAAACGCACGTTGTTGGGCTGTTTGGGGTTTAGGAAAAGTACAATAGAAGAGTTCTTCTGTAAATTCCTAGTTTGCGACATTGGAGTTCCCATAAACCCTTAACAAAAATAAATTGAAAATCTACGGCTTAAGGGTCATCATTGCAAAACATCCATCGCCGGCAAGGAGGCCATGACACGCGGTCATTATGCTTCGGCGCCCGTGCTTGTGGGGCAACTAACCATTGATATTGTGGGAGCTAAGGAGCCAGGGATGATGATAATCCCTATTAAATAAGGAGCTAAAGAGCCAAGGGAACCTTCAAAACCACTGGTTAGGCAACATCACATGAGTGCGGATAGCTGGGAGTCTGGTTCCGAGACGCAGTCTGCATCTGCTTGTCCCATCGGCTAGTTGAACCCGAACCCTAAACCCTAAACCCTAGGCCCTAAACCCAAACCCCATTCAACTCCTGTTTGGCGTGGAGATAGTTCTCGCGGCCCGCCAAGGCTCAAAACTCCACAAAGTCTGTACAGTACTTGTCGCCATTCGCAGGGCTCATCACCCAAGGTGATGGCTTCTCTCCACGTACTAATAGGCCTATGGACAACAGCGCTGGCGATCCGCCAGTCCAGCGAACCCAGTGAGTTTGATGCCAAAGATGCTGCTGCCTACCTCAACCAAAAGTTCCAGAACGGAAGCTGGGGCTTATTGAGGTCCTCAGTAAGGATCGCTATTCCTTGAGTTTAAGTTACCATTGAGCCATAGTAGGCTTCCTACTTGTGGTAGCTCAAGATAAGCTCGTGAATGCCCCTAAACCCTAAACCTTAAACCCCAAACGTTAAATCCTAAACCCTATACCTTACACCCTTGACCTTACACCTTAAGCCCTAAGCCCAGCAAGCGCCCAGGAACCGATTCCGAGAATCTCGCCGAGGCCGGTGTGCTGGTGCGGGTGTTTTTCGAAAGTTGGACCTACGTGCACGGACAGAGCCAGCTGAACCACCTCGCCGTCGATGGTGTCAGCAAGACGGTCGCAGCAGCACATTCCTGGGATGACGTGGCTGCTAGTTCGTTCTCGCAGATAGTTGTCAGAGTTCGTGCAGTAGGTAACCTGAATTTCCTAAGGAATCAGACAGTTTGAGTGTTAGAGAAGGTTAATGGTACAAATCCAGCAGTACCTCACTGAAACTAAACTATGGGCAGTATGGTATATTCCTTATTATGGGTAGTGCAGGATTTATATCATCAACCCTAAACCCTAAACCCTAAAACCATATAGATCCCTGAAAGGAACCCCTTAAAGGTACCCTTATAGACTAATAGATGCCCTTAACAGAATCATCAACCGTGGTTTTTAGAGCTTCCAAGAACAGCGGAGGTTTCGATTCACAAGCAGGTGATGTCTGCCTCCCTCCTGAATGCGGGTCCCTTTGTCATAGTTGAGTTTAGGGCTTAGGGTTTAGGGTTTATATCATGTAGGAACCTGATTAAAACACCTTGGGCCTTTATTAGGGTTCCTTATTTGAATCCTATTTTTTGGGGGTTATAGGCCCAGGCTTTCTTAATCAGGTTCCTACATTAACAGCTTATTGTGTCATGTTTGTACGGTCCAAGAAGTAATGAAAGTCTTAATACTATCCCACCCTTAACCCTACACCCTAAACTCAAAACCCTAAACCCTAAACCAGGTCTGATGGAAGATTACGGTCTGGACCTCTGGCCGCATGGCGTCTGCGGCCTGGTTCTCAACAGCTCGTACTACGAACATAGGTGGCGATGCTTTTCTGTGCAGAGTTTAGGATTTGGGTTCAGGGGGCAGTTTAACCGCTTGAGGGTTTGAAGAGTCTCTGTGGGAATAAGTTTTCAGGGTTTCGGGTTTAGTGAGAGATTTCACGATTTGCGGGGGTTTAGGGCCACAGGTGGCGATGCTTCTATCCAGCAGATGGCTGCTCTGACTGTCGGGATGGATCTGGCTGCGGTGCTCGTTTATTGGAGTTTACTTCTGGTGGGCAGAACTGTTTCAGGACTCTTGACAGTCAGAAGTGCGATCCATACCCCAATCCAAGCTGCGCCTTGACTGAGTGGTCAGCCTTCAGAAACTGGAAATGCAGCGGCTGCGCTTATCGTCCCGCTGCCAACGGCTACACAACTGGAGGATTGGTTGAGGGGCTGCAGATGCAGCGGGCTTGGAAGGACACGGTGAGGGAGTGTGGCAGCTTCAATGTGACCGAGCATTTCCACGGACTCACCTACAACGAAGTTGTCCTGCCCTACACCCCTGAGAGTGCTGACCAGGTGTCTGCTGTTTTCTGTCGCACGGTGCCAGTTGAAAGCACACAATATCGCCAGAGCATTGCAGCCGCAGCCAAGCTGCGCGACCTCTACGAGTCCAAGTTCGCAAAGCCAATCCCGCTACTGGCGGCAGATTTCTCGCGCGCTTCACCATTCTCACCCCTGTGATCAGCGTTGGTGTAGGTGAAAAAGCAGACATGCAGATCACTCCGTCGCACTTTGCAGCCAGTGCCCACTTATCGTTGGCGGGTTTGGTAAAGCGGGAATGTAAGGGTCGGAATGAATAGCGACAGTATCTCCTATTGATGTTGCAGGTCAGCACGCTTGTTCATAGGGTTTCAACAGTTGCCTGCAGAAGCTCAGCACTAAACGGGTTGCTAAAGGGCTACCAGGCGGGTCCTACTAAGCAAGTGTGCTTCAGGATAGGGTTGCTATAATGGCTGCTACACGAGTACTGTAAGTGAAGTGGAAGAGTTTTACCAGGGTTGTCATTACGTGATAAAGCTTGTGCCACCAGTGGCTTGGCTCAAGCCTCATGCCAACACTTTGCAGCTTCTGCTGCAAAGTGCCTCAAAGTAGTCTGCAAATCAGATGCTAGGTGGAGCTTTGGGACACTTTAGTTTTCCTTTATGGTCCTACAGAGGTATATACATTCATAGTACCTTCATAGTTTTGGGAACCCTAAAAGTATGCGTTGTTGAGCCCTTGGAGCACAACCCAGGATGGTGCGTTCATGGCTGGCTGAGGAGTTGAAAGTTGGGACCACCACCCTGGAGCCGTTCTGGCCAGCTTCTTTTTGGCAGTTCGGAATACTTTAGAAGGGTGTAATAGCGGTATAATAGGAATATATAGGAATATAATAGGGCCCTAATATAATCCTTCTAGTCGCTATTACGGGGTGGGGGCCCCTTCAAAGGAATACTGTTGACGATGTTGGGGGCCTTCAAGCTACCCTTCAGCCTCAGGCACCTTGAAACCTTAAACTCTTAAGCCCTGAACCCCCAGGGCCCCCTAGGTAGTATTATTAGGGAGACCCCTTTTAAGGGTACCCCTTCTGAACCCTACTTCTGGCTCTATTAAACGGGGCCTTATTGAGAGGGTCGATATATCCCCAAGCCCCCTAGTTGGGAAATACCGACCCAGCCCACAAAACCCGTAAATTTGGAACACACTTTAAATCATAACACCCTCACTAAGGGGTATTCCCCTAAACCCTAAACCTTATATTGGGCCCTATGGGCACCTCAGGGTCTTCCCTTACAGATGTTGCTTCTGCCCGAATACACGCCGAAGCCGTGTTCAGTTTACTAAGGGTGAAACCCGTAGGGTATCCAGTTTCAAGGGGCCTAAACCAAAGGAGCCTTTAAGCAGTCTCAAACAAATCCCCCATACCTAATCCCAAACAACCAACCGTTTTAGGGTTCAAGAATTATGATTTCATGATACGAATCATTAAAACGGTAGGTCATTCAGGGGGTAAGCCCCTAAAGAAACCCCTCTGGGTTCTTCCAAACATGTTCCTTTAAGGGTTCTAGGATAGTGTTCCTCCAAGGGTTCGGTCATCGGGTTCTATAGTAGGGTTCCTTTGAAGAAGCCTAAACCCTAAGATTCAAACGCTAAGCCGCTAAACCCTAAGTTAAGTCCGAAAAATTGCAGCCTAAACCGCGAAACCCCAGACGACTTAAACCTTGAACTTAAAAAACCCCTATAAACCCTAAACCCTAACCCCTATAAACCCTAACCCCTAACCCTGAACCCTAAGCCCTGGACCCCAAGCCCGAAACTCGAGGATCGAGTTCAGAGTTCTTCTGGTGATTCTAATGGGGTTCCAAACAAAGGTTTTTTCGAGTTTAGGGTTTGGGGTTTAGGGTTTAGGGTTCTGGTTGGTTTAGGGTTCAGGGTTTAGGGTTGAGGTTGGTTTAGGGTTTAGGGTTTAGGATTTAGGGTTTAGGGTTCCGGGTTTAGGGTTTAGGGTTTAGGGTTGAGGTTGGTTTGGGGTTTAGGGTTTAGCTTCTATGAAGGGGTTCCTTGAAGGGTTTAGGCTTTCGGGTTTAGGTTCTGTTATAGGGTTCCTCTGAGGGTTCTACAATGTCTGGGTTCTTGTTAAGGAATGCAACTTAAGTTACCCTAATAAAGAAGCTATGTTATTTACTCTAGAACCTATTATGGTAATTTAAACCTCAAACCCTAAACCCATAAAGGCACCCTTATACATCCCTTCAAGGAGCCCTTATAGACGCCTGTTATGGTATTACCCACAGAGCCCAATACGCCTTAATTCAGGAATATAGCTTAAATCATAATATGAAGCCCCAAATGATTTAAGGTATACTCCTTAATTGAGGGGTATTTGGCTCTCTAAATAAGCTCCTTAACAAGAGCCCAGCTTTCCCAGGTCTTCCTGGCGGGAGGCCTCTGCTTCTACGTCTTGGGCCTGGGCTTGGGAAAGACCGCGGAGATCGAAGGGAAGGTCGCCTCCTTTAGTTCCTTTAAGGGCTCCCTTAAAGGAGCCCTTAAGGGTTCCTTCAAGGGTTCCGGTTTAGGGTCCTTTTAGGGTTCCTTTAAGGGGCTCCCTTATCTAAGGGTTCCTTTCAAGGGCTCCTTTAAGCGTTGCTTTGCTCCTTCAAGGGTTCCTTTAAAGGGCTTCTTTAAGGGTTCCTTTGAAGGGTAGGGCTTTGCTTGGACCTCAAGCAACCTACCTTCCAGGGCTCCTTATGATGATCTGTTTGCATAAGTCCTTGAAATTTCGGCTACTTGGTGTTAAGGTAAGGTTTAGGATATAAGGGCATGGGGCTTTAGGGTGGTCGTGCTTTGAAGAGTTAGCCACATAAGGATTGAGGGCCTTTTTCTTCAGGATTCATTTTTTTCAGCTTCTAGAATTTGGGGTTCGATGAAGGTATCTGGTTTGAAGGATCCCGATAAAAACGGTGAGGGTTTAGCGTTCAGGGTTTAGGATTTAGGGTTTAGGGCTCTGTTTGAAGTGCCTTGTTTGAGGGATTGCTGTTGGTACAAGGTTGCCTTAGTGAAGCATCCTGAAGCCCTTTCCTGGTAAACTAATCCCTGTGTAGTCTCACAGGTTGACCTTTGGTTGGCCCTTGGAATCTGGACATGTGCGTTAAGGATCATGGGACTTAGTATCTTAAATACAGATCGAAGTACTATAGGAGCTGGTAAGTAGGGTGATAAACAAGGTAACTGTCCCTATAAATACTTATCATCACAAATAAGGTACTTATAACCTTACTTACTTAGTCCCCGATTCCTTTAGGAATCACAATATATATATATATACACATATATGTATACATACCTTTACGGAACCCTTTAAGGAACCCTTTCGGTTACGAAGTCCCGCGTGCCGTCAAGTAGGTTTTCCTTGGCAAAGACAGCCGTGGCAAGGTCACCTCCCCAGGGCCTGCACAGCCCGGTGCCACGACAAGCCTCCTCGCCGTGGCGGTCTTCGCAGTGTATGTAGTTTCCTACAGCTCACAGGGCGTCTGGGCTCGTATTTGGGAGTTCGGGGTTCAGGGCAGTATGGCTTCCGCGTTCCTGTCAATGATTTCAGCTTGAGTTATCATCGTCGGGCCGCGTAGTACTTGACGAACCTTGCCTTACTTTGAAGTTCATGGGTATAAGTACGGCTAGAAGTAGGACAACCATACTTATAGCTAAAATCAGAGGACCTACAACCCCACTTAAACTGCCCATGAACCTCCATATTGATCCTTGGCATGAACCCATCCAAGGGCAAAAGGAGGGACCCTTAATAAGGACCCCTAGGTATATACCCTTAATATAGCCATTATATACCCATCATATAGCCCATTATAGGGTAGGGGTCCCCCATTAAGGGTCCCTCCTTCTCCCCTAAACCCCCTAAACCCCCAAACCCCTAAACCCTAAACCCTATACCCTTATAGCATCCCTATAGATCCCTTTAAAGGGTCCCCATTAAGGGTCCCTCCTTCTCCCCTTTGAACCCAGGCCTGATCTGGGAGTTCCACAAGCTGACAGAAGCTTCCTTGCTGGTTGTGCAAGCACAGATTGCTTCGCGGCTGCAATCATACTTAGAGGATCATGGGACTTCGTAAGGGTTCTTCAAGGCCCCCTTAAAGGGATCTATAGGGTTCCTTAAAGGGATCTATGGGGTTTAGGGTTTAGGGTCTACTTAGAGGATCATGGGACTTAGTAAGTAGGTTATAATTGGGGTTTAAGTCCCCTAAGATATAATTATCCTAATTATATCCTACTTATAACCTCACTAAGTAAGTCCCATGAGCCTTCAAGTAGGCAATTCAGTTGATACCACTTTGCTACGTGGCGCTGTGTGCATGATTTCAGAAAGGAGCTGGAGTTGAAGCGAGTCATATCTGAGACAGCGGCAGTACTGATTGAAATCCAGACTATCATTCTTGCTATCTGATTGTTTTTGCGTATCTCTACTACATCACGAAAACCATAAAGCTGTACATCCTAAGCCCTAAAGCTTAAGCCTCAAGCGCTGAGGTGCTGGTCTCAAAGCTTCTTTGCATGGCTCTTGGCGCCGGGCACGCAGCGAGCATCGGGTCCTTCTCGCGGTGCTTTGAGGCGTGCAAGTAATATAGAGGCCTAAATAATTTCCAAAACTATTTTGGTGGTTCCTTATCATAATAGTATATTGGAGCCCCAAAACCCTGTTCTAATTGTTAAGGCCCCGATAGTGTTCGTATTAGCATTAATGCAAGTATTTAGTTTGGTAGTGATATGGGTGGTTGTCAAAATTATTAGGTGCCGTATTATATTAGGGACCCAAAAAGGGACCCTCATTTTGACAACCACCCATACTAGTGTTGGTATTAACAGTGGTATTTGAGGGCTGGGGTTTCACTTTGCAGGGTTTCGGGCTTTGGGGCTTCAGGGTGTAGGCGGTTTAGGGTTTAGGGGATTTGGGGTTTATACACCCTAAACCCAGGGTTGCAGAGAAACATATAGGGATTTCAACAGTTTTTTTTTTTTTTTTTTGGCGCCAGGTTCGCAACATTGCGAGATATTCGCTACCCGGCTTCTGCTTCGGCTTCTACGAAGTCTTCAAGATGATGGCCCTCCAAAAGATCAGTGCTGGCTCGGTGCAAGTCCTGTTGCAGTTTCAGCTGATCCTCGGTCCTCTAGTAGCCTCCCTTCGTTTCCTAGGATTTGGGAGTTTGCCGAAAGTTAGGGTACCTTATTTGGGGGTCCTTGTATTCAGGACCCTATCATTTAGGGTACTATCTTAGGGTCTCCTGTTGTCGGAAACTCGCATTTTGCAAGGATTTGATGGCAGAGGGTGTTATAGCTTGTAGGCTTCTAGGTCCCAGAGGTGTACCTTCATGCCATGCCCTTTTACATTCTTGGGGTTCCTCTTTAGAACTGAAGCGTCAGGAAGAGGGGTTGTTTTCATGAACCCTCCCAAACCCTGAACCCTAAGTCAAACCCTACCCCTCAAACCCCTGAACCCGCACAAGAACCTTGTTCTGACTTCTTCTTAGCAGTCTTTTGTTGGGACCTCTTCCTGAAAGAGCAACAATGAAGGAGACGATTCACTTTTTCCGAGAACAAGAAACCCTAAACCCAATATCCCAAGCCTTGGGTACGGCCCCCCACTCAGTAATAGTTGAATAATATTCATAATATAGATATATTCGAACCTTTATAGTAGCCCGATTACAGACTCTTACTGTATGCGGGCAGTACCTCACCAATACCCTACCCCAAACCCTAAACCCCAAAACCCTAAACCCCTAAACCCTTAAATCCCTAAATCCTAAACCCCTAAACCTAATACCCTAAGCCGAAGAAGAATCCCAACCCCTAAACCCTAAACCCATCCTAAACCCACTACCCTAAGCCCAAGAAGGATCCCCTAAACCCCTAAATCCCTAAACCCTAAACCCCTAAACCCCCTAAACCCTAAGCCCAGTACAAGGATCCCAATGGTGTATATAGAGTTATAAGTAGGGTAATCTAAACCCTAAACCCTAAGCCCAAGAAGGATCCCAATGGTGCTCCTCCGGAGCCTCGTCTTCCGAAGCGCCTTGCAGCCGGCGGACTGGACCCTGCTCCTCGCGCTGACTTGCGGCTGTGCCTGGGCTTCCTAAGGCTTTGGGGTTTAGGGTTGTTCAGGGGGGTCAGGCGTTTAGGGTTTAGGGGTTTAGGGTTGTTTAGGGGTTTAGGGGTTTAGGGGTTTAGGGGTTTAGGGGTTTAGGGGTTTAGGGGGTTTAGGGGTTAGGGGTTTGGGGTTATGGGGGTTTGGGGTTTAGGGGTTTACGGTTTAGGGTTTGTCATCTGGGGGGGTTGTCAAAATGAGGGTCCCTTTTTGGGTCCTTAATATAATACGGCACCTAATATTTAGGGTACCCAAAGAGGGACCATACTTTTGACAACCACCCAATCTGTTTTTTTCGCAAGGGCTTTGAACTCGTTCTTTGTGTTGAATGTAGTATACACCCAAGGGTTCATTAAGAACGTAACTTTTTGAGTCAAAGGGGCTCAAAGGTGCAGGCTTCCAGTACACTCATGATGCTGCGTCTGTGATGGGCTCGGCGTACACTGCCATTTCCATGGGCTTCAGCGTTCTAGGCAATGTCCTCGGTGAGTATCTGTTGACCTCAGAGCATCAAGAACCCGTGGTGCTTCAAAATACTTGGAGTTTGGTCAGTGAGTCCTTGGCGGCCATAGTTGTGATGCTTTTGGACAGGACGCCCCGGATGGTTTAGGGTTGGCCCCATCTTGGTGAGATTCTATGTGCCTTTTTCTTGCGTGTTTGTAAGCAGGCTAGATAAACTCAGATGTAGGAGCTCCAACAACAACGTTCTCATGTTGCCTTCGTGGTCGCCGCTGATTTGGACTCTCGTCGTTGCTGGCGCATTGCACACTTTGGTGTCGACGACCGCTTGCAAGGTGAATGGCTCCGTAGCAAAGACCATAGCTGCCAACATCTCCACCGTCTTCCCCACTTGGGTGGTTTTGATGCTGATGGGAGTGGAGTCTGTCTACGATGTTCCCAAGATTCTCTTCGGCCTGGTGGTGCTCACAACATCCGCTACCTTTACCCTGAAGAACGAGAAGTGAGGGACAGGGAAGTAGACTCAGCATGGCATCAAGAGAACTGCGCTAGCCCTAAACCCTAAACCCCGAACCCTAAATCCTAAACTCTAAAACCCTAAAACCTAAACCCTAGACTCTAAAACCCTAAACCCTAAACCCCGAATCCTAAATCCTAAACTCTGAAACCCTAAACCCCTAAACCCTAGCCCCTAAACCCGAAAACCCCAATCCCTGAACCCCGAACCCAAGCCTTGATGATCGCGCGCCTGCGTCGCACGTGCTGCCATTTCGAAAAGGGTTTAGGGTTTAGGGTTTCGGGTTTAGGGTTTAGGGTTCGCACCGAGCACCGCTGGCATGCTCAAGGGAAGTCGTGTGCTGATTGACGGCACTCCATGGCTCGTTGAGGGTTTAGGCTTTAAGGGTTTGGAGTTCAAGGTTGATGTAGGAACCTGATTAAGAAACCCTGGGCCTATACCCCTAAAACAGTAGAGTTTATACAAGGGACCTAATAAATGCCCAAGGTTTCTTAATCAGGTTCCTGCATTAGTTGTAGGATGGCCGGAAAATGTCGGCTCGAGCTGCCTGGAATCTTATGTAGTGCAAGGCCGCACGTGGCCTACACAATACCCCAAGAACTTTGGTGACGTTTTGTCTTGGGTGCTCTGGCTGCAAGGGGTCTGTTCTGAGTCAGCTGTTCGGTCAGAGACGAGCCGATTAACCTTATTCAAAGCTTCGATGTGGTATATAGGTATGTTATCATTGCTTGGAGGTTCAGGGGTAGTTCTGAGTGGGGTTGTAAGTCCCCTAGTATGGTTTATAAATAAGTATAGTTACCGTACTTATAATCCTACTTATAACCACCGATGAAGCTGCAACTTAGTGTAGGCTCCTTATATAGCGGTTGATTGTCAAGCGAAGGTGTGCAGCAAAATGTCACGCGCGTTGTGCCAGATTGCCGTGCAGCTGGACTACTACATGTCTGCGCAGTTTGCAGGCATTGCTCTTGCTTGCCGTCGAGGTGGTAACTATCAAAAGCATAACCCTTAACCCCAAAATCATGTTTCGTTCGGTTCCCTAAACCCTAAACCCCAACCCCAAACCCTAAACCCTAAAATCCTTAAACCCTAAATACCCTAAACCCTAATCCCTAAACCCTAAACCTAAACCCCAACCCCAAAGCCCTAAAGCCCAGAGGTATTTATGAGAAAGCTGGGCTGAAAGTCAACCTACTTCCCAGTTGCCCTCCCGGAGATGAAGCTGCTAAAGTCTGTGACTAGGGTGGCACTTTGGTATATAGACTTTTGGGTTTATGGATTAGGGTTTAGGGGTTTCCGGGTTCAGGGTTTAGGGTATTTAGGCTTTATGCTGCTAAAGTCTGTGACCAGGGCGGCACCTTTCTTTTTTGGCGGGATTCTTTAAGGGTTCCATAAGGGTACTATAGGGCTTAGGGGTTTACGGTTGAACTTCCATTACGGTTCCTATAGAGGTAACCACAAATACTTTTAAGGGGCCCCAAACTACAACCCAGGTGAAGGCTTCTCGAAAGATGCCTCGAAGCTGCACCTGGGCTCTTCTTGAGGAGCTTAGGGCTTAGGCGTTTAAGTTGCCGTAATTAGGTTTAGGGTTTAAGGTTCAGGGGTTTGGGGTTTAGAGTTTATAGTTAGGAAGAACAGCCATTCACCATGCATCCTTTTTGGGAGACCCTAGTGTCTTCTCCGGTCTCAGGCATGTGGGCAGCATGGAGCAGAACACACTCATCCCAGCCGCAGGCGGCACAGCAGGCGACCACAGCATCAAAGCGGTTGCTGCAATGTTTGGCCGTTCCCCTTTGTGCTTCTGGGTTTGTGTTAAGGAGCCTAGTCGGGATACTTACCAAAGTTGTTGGTTCCTTTAAGGGTTCTATAAGGGTTTCTGTTAAGGAGCTTAGTTAAAGCTAGCAGGCATGATCGGGGTTTATAGTACCGAACATGGTTTCCTTTTTCTGGTAACTTCAACTACATGGAGGTTCATGGGCAGTTATAAGTAGGGCTATAACCTTTGTAAATATACATATAGCCCATATTAGGGGACTTATAACCATATTTCTAACTACCCATGACCCTCCAAGTAAGTGCCTTCACAAAAGCCCAGGCTTGGCAGCAATGCCAGATGTTGGGCTACGGGGCAGACTTCACGAGAATCCCCATGGACATGGATTGCGCATTGCAGCACACACGGATGCTGGGGCCTTCTTCAGGAACTCAGGTTTTGAAGATGCTTTATGGTTCCCATCAGACCACGTGATGCTTCCACTTAGCATGGTAGCTGGAAAAGTAAAACCCGAAGCCCTAAACCATACATCCTAAGATCTTAACATCCTAAGATCTAAACCTTAAGCCCTAAGCCCAGGATACCATTGACCTCCTGAAGCGCATTCTTCCGGGGGCCGATGTCTTGGACGTTCCCCGCACCCAGAAGCTCAGCGAGCTCAGGGAGGGAGGTGTGGGGCCCCCGAAAGGTTTCGAGGTTGGGCATTGGCTAAGCGTTGATTTTGGAGGAGCTAAGGAGCCAGGGATGATGATAATCGTTATTTTTAAATAAGGAGCTAAAGAGCCAAAGGAACCCCCAAAACCACCGGTTAGTTGGGGTTTAGGGTTCAGGATTATATAGGGTTTGGGGTTTACCGTTTAGGATGTCCCGACCGTTTTTGGGCTCCATTTTGAAGGGGATCCATGTGGGATCCATATCCTGACTTCTGCTTCTAAATATGGTAAATATGGGTGGTTGTCAATTAGGGTCCCTTTTTGGGGTTCTTATTATAATATGGCACCCAATATTCAGGGTACCCAAAAAGGGACCCTAACTTTGACAACTACCCAATCTGTGCTTGCCCCTCAGAGGTGTCGATGCGGCACAGGCCTATGACGTCACCGAGACCCTACGACTGGGGCAGGAGTTGCTGGGCTCTAGTAAAAAAGTAGATCCCTTAATGGGGGTTCCTATAAAGTACCCTTAGTAGTATAGGGCCCCAAATTAGGGGATCTACTTTCTAGATCCTCCCGGGTGTCTGGTTTAAGGTCCTTACTCTAAGTTGCTAGATCCATAGTAGAATCTGCTCTAACTTAGATAACATCTGAAGCCCAAACCTTGAACCCTAAACCCCAAAACCCCACAACCCCTAAGCCCGAAACCCCCAGACCCCCGTTAAAGACAGGTTGGGCTCGCAGCCGGATGTCATTCCGCTGCAGGGCATTGCCTTTCCCGGCGTGGCTGGGCCCTTCTTAAGGAACCATCGTCGGCTTCGGGTCTTCTACGGGTTTAGGGTTTAGGGTTTAGGAGTGGTTCATCGTAAGTCTTTGGTTTCCTCATTATGGTGACCCTGAACCCTCGGCCCTCAACCCTAAGAAAGTTACTTCGCCAAAGCCCACCTAAACCCTAAGCCCCCAAAGCCCTGCGGGCACCGGAGAAAAGGAGTTCAAAATAAGAAGCCCAAAGCCCAGGTGACCCTTGGCTACTCCCAAGTCCTCTTCGTGCCTACGGATTCCTTGGCGATGCACCGAGAGTCCCTCCAGACCTTCTTGAGGCGGGTGAGCGTTCCATGGTAAGGGTTGGACAAAAAAGGTTCCATAGCAAGGGTTCGATGGTAAGGGTTCGATGGCAAGGGTTCGATGGTAAGGGTTCGATAGTAGGGATTCGATACGTTATCAAGGTTCGGTAGGAAGTGTTCTGCAATAAGAGCTCTGTAGGGGGTACTTAACCGGATGTATTCAGGTTTGAATACATCCCAAGAATTCCTTTAAGGACCCTGGAGTGAAGGGGCCTGGGTATCTTTTGGTTGGTTCGTTTTTTGGAAGGATCTCCGAAATTTTGTTTGCCTGCTTAACCTCACAGCCATAGAGTGCTGAACACCAAATTCTGAAGTTTGCGCCGCTGATGCCCTGAAAGCAGCGCAAAAACGGTGCTCCCCAAAGGGGTGAAAAGCCTAAACCCTAAACCCATCAAAACGCCCTAAACCACCAAAAAGCTTTAAACCCTAAACCACCAAAAAGCCCGACACCCTAAAGCCCCAAAAAGCCACTACTTGGAGGTTCATGGGTAGTTACAAGTAGGGTTATAACTGGGGTAACTATACATATAACCCATATTAGGGGACTTATAACCATACTTATAACTACCCATGAACCTCCAAGTAGGCCCTAAACCCTATACCCTTATAGAATCCCTATAGATCCCTTTAAAGGGACCCTTAAGGGGACCCTGAACCTCCAAGTAGCCCACGAGCCCGGAAAGTGTCGCTCAGGGCGACGTTCACTGGTTGGAGCCAAGCCTTGCGAGACCCCGAGGTCAGCTCCTGGGGTTTTATAGCATTTTTAGGGTTCTTAGGGTGGAGGGTTTATCGGGTTTAGGGGTTTAGGGTTTAGGGTTTAGGGGTTTTAGCATTTTTAGGGTTCATAGGGTGTAGGGTTCGTGGGGTTTTAGCATTTTTAGGGTTCATAGGGTGTAGGGTTTATCGGGTTTAGGGGTTATAGGGTTCAGGGTTCAGGGTTTCTAGGGTTCATAGGGTTTAGTGGTTTAGGGTTTATAGGGTTCAGGGTTTATAGGGTTCATACAGTTTAGGGGTTTAGGGTTTAGGGTTCTAGGGTTTAGGGTTTAGGGTTTATAGGGTTTAGGGTTGAGGGGTTTAGGGGTTTAGGGTTTAGGGTTTACAGGGTTTAGGGTTCAGGGGTTTAGGGGTTTAGGGTTTACGGCTTACTGTATTCAGATGAAGGAACCCCCCCACAGCCCTATTCTAATTGTTAAGGCCCCTTGGTTTAGTGCTTCATTGTCTAGTGGCTTATGGATCCCTATAGTAGAAGCCTATGTAATCCCAATAAAAGTCCCCATAGCCCATTCCACCCATTCCCTACTCAGAACCAGACAGTAGTGGCTCAGGGTTAGGGTTTAGAGGTCAGCTCTGGAGCTTTTAGCATTTTAGCGTTTCGGGGTTAGTGGTTTAGGGTTTAGAGGGAGGAATCTTTAAGGGTTCCTTGGTTCCTTAAGGGATCTACAGGGGTTTAGGGTTTAGTGGTTTCGGATTTAGGGTTAGGGCTCAGTGTATGGGGATTAGGTCTTCACCGATTTGTTTTCTCTTTTTGGAACTCTATAAGGCTATAAGGGTTCTCTACGGGAGTCAGGGGGATTCAGGGTGAAGTTGTTGTTTTAGTATGGGGGTCCTTTCAGGGGATTAATCGGGTCTTTAGTCTCTTCATAGGATATTTTTTTGCGTTTTCGACGTTAAATTGGGATTCCGCTTAAGGGGCTTGGGTTTAGGGCGGGTTTGAGGCACGGGTATCAGGGCTTTCGGGGTTTAGGGTTTAGGGTGAGTGCTGGGTGCCAAAACGAACGCTTTGCAGGGGGTTATGGGGGCTTACACGGGTTTAGAGGTTTGGGCTCTGTATAGTGAAGTCTAGAAAGTTGGAACATAGATTTAGGACCATGATTGGTGCTGGGATTGCCTCTAATTTGCTTTAAGGACATGAGGATAATGATGTTACAACTTTCTGGCCTCTGCTTCAGGTTCGCAGGGAAGATGACTCAACCCTAAACCCCTAAACCCCTAAACCCTAAACCCTAAACCATAAACCCCTAAACCCTAAACTCGAAACCCCTAAACCCTTAACCCCTAAACCCTAAACCCGAACCCCTAAACTGATTCAGGGCCTTCTTTTTGAGTGTGTTTCGGGTGCCAGACTTTTGGCTTAGAGTGGTGGGGCTTCGGGTTCCTGCTGGTGCTCAGGGGTACTACTATAAGGGACTATGTAGGGCCGAATTTAAAGATCCACTCTTTCTCAGGAACCACTACGGATTCTGGGGATCTTAAGCTTAATATTGAGGGCCGGTCATCTTACGGGTTTTCGGAACCCACTTGAGGGGTTTGCGGTTTGGGGTTGCGTGCTTGTGGTGGACTAAGGGCGGTTGAGTTTTACTGGCTAGCCGGCTAGCCTTGGGGTGGGTAAGTTTGAAGACCAGCGCTGGACCACAAAGCGTGCTTTCGTTTAGCACGCCCTTAACCCTAAAACCCTGAACCCTACTGTAAGCCCTAAGCCCTTTTCTGTCGCGAGAATCCTGAATGCACCCAGAGAGCCCAATGCCCCTTAATTAAGGAATATACCTTAAACACCAGGGGCTTCATATTATGATTTAAGCTCTACTCCTTAATTAAGGGTATCGGGCTCTCTGGGCAGGCGGCAGCCGAGGCGGTCTTGGCTATGCAACTGGGTGGAGCTTTGGCACACTTTTCATCTTTACTTCACCTTTTCATTCTCCTGAGAGCCTTGAAAGTACAACCAAGGCAAGGTGCGGAGGACGCGGAGGAGCACCCTAAACCCTAAACCCTAAACCGTGACATGAGGGGCTTTAAGGTTTACCTAAACCCTAAACCCTAAACCCTAAACCCTAGAGGGGATTATTGTAATGGCTCGACCATGGCTTGGGTGTCTCATGGCTTAGGTTTCGCAGGTTCTGTTGAGAGTCTGAGAATGTAGGAACCTGATTAAGAAGCCCTGGGCCTATAACCCCAAAATAGTAGGATTCATGTAGGGAACCCTAAGAAAGGCCCAAGGTTTCTGAATTAGGTTCCTACATTAAGGTCGTTCTCTGTGTAAAGGCTTTCTACAAGGGCCGATGCAGATTTGTTGTGGCTTGGATGTTGTGGGTCTTGGGGTTTAGGGTTTGGGAACACAAACACAGATTAGGATTTCGTGTCCAAGGCTTCTGGGGAGTTGCCATTTTTCTGTAAGTGTATTGCTCGTCTCGATATGTTTTTTGTAGTGCTTGATTTGAGATGCGGTGCCTGGAAGCATTGAAGTATGTTTTCATGAACTCGCACAAAGAAGGTTGGCAGTAGAGTCTTCTCCTCCAGCCAAGTTATGTTGCTCCGATGCAGACAGGCACTTGTCCTAAACCTGAACGCAACCCGAGCATCTTATGAACGCCTGAGGAGATCCATAGCAATGCAACAGCCCTGACAAACCTGATAATCTCGGCTTGGTGTTAAACTCTGCCCTTCAATCCCAAACCCTGTAGTGTCACGCTAAATCCCTCAAAAGGCCCTAAAGTCCGCAAAGCCGTGAACACCCCTAGACCCTAAACCCGACACTCTAAACCAAGACTTCAGGGAATATTCAGGCTTTAGGGCTTAGGAGGCACGACATCCTCGACCTTGAACCGCTAAACTCTAGACCCTAAACCCTGAACCGCCTACACCCCTACAGTAGAAGCTCAAAAGTTGGAGACCCAATAGCCTCAATCCTTAAGAGTAATGTATAAGGAGTCCCAGCACTACTTGGCCTTAATCCGGTTTCCAACTTTATGGGGTTGACTACACCCCAAAACCAAATTCCTAAACCCTTAACCCCCAATTCCCAAACCCTAAACCCTAATCCCTACTATAGACCCGAAACCCGAAATTCTCAGGAGCTTTCTGTGGACCACTACTTTCGATCCAAGGAATTCACCGCGAGCAGCGTCCGCCTCTGCTGCGACTACGTCAAGCGAACGCGGCGCTGCTCGGCCCCTGTCAGTTCGCGGTTTAGGGGTTTAGGGTTTTAGGGTTTCTGGTTTAGGGTTTAGGGTTTAGGGCTTTGGGGTTTAGGGTTTGGGGGTTTAGGGGTTTAGGGTTTTAGGGTTTAGGGTTTAGGGTTTAGGGTTTAGGGCTTTGGGGTTTAGGGTTTAGGGGTTTAGGGTTTAGGGTTTTAGGGTTTAGGGTTTAGGGTTTAGGGGGCCCTCAGAGACCAATATCCCTATAGTTAAGGAATATAGCAATCATAAATATGAGGCCCCTAATGATTTAAGGTATATTCCTTGATTAAGGGATATTGGGCGCTCGGTTACTTTTTTAGACATGATGATGTTAATTATTGCTGTTCTTCTTCCTCCCCTTATTGCAATGATCATTATTATTACTATGTTCATTATGTTTAGTATCGTGAATGTTACTATTAGTAATATAGTCATGGAGGGCCCCAAAACAGCCGAGAAGCAAGAATTAGGTGAGGGACATGCCGCAGAAATACCCTTATACTGCAGCTGAATAGGGTAGGTTATGTTCATGTCCTTTTTGGGGCCCCATGTTAAGGAACCTGCTTTGATATGCCACAGCAGGGTCTGTATCAGGGATTTGGGTGGGAAGGAACTTCGTTGAAGATGCTACGAGTATGACTGTTAACATGATGTTGCAGGGTTTAAAGAGTTTCGAGGAACTCATTTTAGTCAGCCTAGTAGAGAAACAGAGAGACAAATAGACAGAGAGCGATATACAGAGAGCGATATATATATATATATATATCATATACACCTTTACACACATCTGTAATATGGTGGCACATACTGTGCTTTCCTGCTAGTCTGGCATCCGAAATCAAGTTCTGAATAAGAGCCCAGGCTGCGGGCAGTTGGGGGTCATCGATGCGGAGCGCTGGGACTCGGCGAACAGGTGGCTGCTTCCCAGCGACTTCCCCAAGAAGGGCCACTGCCTCGATACGACGGTGTGGAATCAGGATCCTAGGGTTGAGGGATTTGGGGTTTAGTAGGGTCTGGGATGCTTCTTAACTTTGTACATGTGGGGGTGTAGGGGTTTCGGGCTTATCGTTTGGGATTAAGGTACTTACTCCTCAATCACCGCGGGCCTTTGAAACAGAAGCCAGGATGCCCACTACGTCGATGCCCAGCCGGTGGTGGACCGCATCTACGAGGATCGGGGGCTTCAAAAGGTGGGACGCGGGTAGGCAGGATGAAGGATATATATATATATATATATAATATACATACATATATATATATATATATATATATATATACATATATATATATAGTATAAAATATTTTTAAAGAATATAGAATATAATATATATTACTTTCACTTTCAAGGCACGGAATCCTGGTCGGATGCAGCCTATTATAATGACTATACATACATATATATATATATATGGGTTAATCAATTGGGATCGTCCCAGCTATCTTCATCCCAGCTTTGGAGCCTTGAAAGAGGAGACTCTTGGCCTGGTTGAGAAGTCCAAAGAACTCCACGGGCGAGCTCCGAGGTCTGGGGTTTAGGGCTTTAGGGTTTAGGGTTTTAGGGTTTAGGGCTTTTGGGTTTTAGGGTTTAGGGTGTAGGGCTTTAGGGTTTAGGGCTTTTGGGTTTTAGGCTTCCTTTAAAGGGTACCATAAGGGTGCGATAAGGGTGGGTCTGGGGCTTTGGGTAACGCTAATCAATCCTAACGCCTACTTGGAGGGTCGGGGGGACTTAGTAAGGTTACAAGTAGACTTATAAGTGCCTTAAAAGGGACCCTAATTGGGGTATGGTACTTTACTTACTAAGTCCCCCGACCCTCCAAGTAAACCCTACCCCCTGCCCCAGACCCCTAAACCCCAAACCCCCAGCCCCAAAGACCCCGCTTGAAACCCTCAACCTTAAACCCCAACAAAGTTGTTCAGGTTGTGGGTGGCCCTAAACCTTAAGTCCTTACCTAAGCCCTAAACCTCGGAGGTTGTCGGTGGTGACCGTGGGCACCGGTCCCTTGGGAAGTACGCACCCGGATGGCCCGAAACGCCTGCAGTACTTTGCCCCGGAAGATGCGCAGCTCGGCCCCCTTTGGCGGGACCCTTGTTAAGGGATTTAGTTTAAGTTTTCATAAAAAGGAAACCCATAAGGCCATAGGGGATCTCTCAGGGTTCCTTTGAGGGTTTAGGGTTTAAGGCTTATGTTACCACTATTTACTGTAGATCCCTATTATGGCAACTTTCACTGAATTCGTAAACAAGAACCCAGTTTTGAGGGAATGTATTATAGGGGCTTAAAGAATTACCTGTACTGCTTTGGGGGTTCCTTGTTATAATTCTAGTATAGCGCACCCCCAAAACACACTTCCAATTATTAGGGCCCCTACAGGAGGTTTTTTAGGGATTTGGGGGGTTCGGGGTTTACGCGTTTAGGGGTTTAGGGTTTCAGGTTTGGGGATTTCCGGGTTTAGGGGTTTACGGCTTAGTGTTTCGGGGAATGTGGTCTAAGCTACCAGAATAGGTACGTATGTGAAGAAGATGCAACATCAGAGGAACGCCGAAAATTCAACACAGTTCCTTGAGAAATCCACAAATATCTTCCAACCCTCCAAAATCAGCCTCAAACCCTACCCAACCCGAAGGCAAGTTCCTGGTCAAACCTTCCAAAAACCGTAAAGCACCTTCTTTTTCTTCATCAATCTAATCTAAAACCATAAAGCCCCTTATATGGTCCTCATCACCAACCCTTATTAGACAGCAACAACTCTTACAAACACCATAAACATGCCTGTAGATTCCCAGAAAGAACCGATGAAGCACCCTTCAGGAAGCCTCAGCGTTCTATTATAAAGCCCTTTGTCATCCTTGTCAAATTCCCCCAAACCCCAAACCCTGAACCTTAAACCCTAAACCCCTAAACCCTAAACCCCCAAACCCTAAACTTCCCAAAAGCTGAGGAGCTGGTTCTCCAAGGCAAAGAGCGGAAATGCCATCGGCATCGACGTCAAGGAGACACAGTTGTGGGCCTAGGGGTTACGGTTTAGGGTCCTATAACCTATTTCGGACCCGAGGCGGATCGACAAGGTGGAATGAAGGAAAACCGTCCAGGTTGTATTTTGGCTTTTGTAGAGCTTGCAGTAACAAATCGAAAAGGTGGGCTTGTTGGGGGGGGGAAGTTGTAGTTGTAAGAGTTGGGTTTTAGGGGTTTCGGGCTTTAGGGTGTTAGGGGTTTGGGGTCTTTGCAGGGCGCTTGATAAAAGGCTTACAAAGGTGTTACAAAGGCATGACAGGGATTTGCAGGGCTTTCCAGAGGGGCATGAAAAGGTGGGATTCTAGGTCTTGGGGTTTTCGGGTTTGGGGTTTCAGACAGCCTGTGCAAGGTTCTATACGGGTTGTACAAGGGATTGATCTTGTTTTTGTTATTTTGGGCATGTTCACGCTTTATACTGGTTTGACAGTGTTTTAACACATGTCTGACAAGGGTTTCGCAGGGTTGCTTCATAAGGGTTTTCTCAGTTTTTGTGTAAGGTTTTGTTAGGGTTAGGGGTAACCATTCGGGCTTGATGGGCCTGGAGTTCAGGGTTTAAGGTTTATTCCAGCCCTTTGAAGGAGATCCACCTGCCAGAGGCAGCGCCGACAGAGCGCTTGGTGAAGGTCTTGCAGAAGGAGCCGAACAAGGGTTCCGTTGTTCAGGGTTTAAGATTTAGGGTTTCGAGGTTGTTTTTGTTGGGTTCCTTGAAAGATCCGTTTAAGGTTCCTATAGGGCGTTCTCTTTGGTTTCATGGTGGGGTTTCATGTCGTTGATGAGGGTTTTCGAGGGTTGCGAGAAGTTTCTATCCGGGTGGAAAAGGGGTTTAGGGTTGAGGGTTTAGGGTTTAAAGGGCTTTACAGGGATGTGAATTTTGTCACTCATAGGGTTATATAGGATTTGGGGGTTTAGGGTCTTGCGGTTTCAGGGCTCTAGGGTTTGGGGTTTCAGGGTTGAAGAAGTTCCTTGATCACGAGGTCCTTTGAACCGCTATACAACCCCTGGCGAACCCTACAAAGGCTATATTCCTGAATTAAGGCTTTGTCAAACTCCGCAGCCGCAGCAGAATGACACCTAGGCTCTAAACCCTTTAACCCCTAAACCCCTAAACCCCTGAACCCCTAAACCCTTAAACCCCTAAACCTTTAAACCCTAAACCCTAGACCCACCCTTATAGCACCCTTATAGTACCCTTATAGTACCCTTATAGTGCCCTTTGAGGGAACCCTAAACCCTAAACCCTAAGCGAAGGAGCATGATGCGGATGGCCTTCAGCTCATGTGGCCTCTTCCTCCTCAGATCAAGGCGGCGGAGGCCCTGGCAGCGATTCCTTTCTCAAAGGACTGACTTGTAACCTACTTAGAGGATCATGGGACTTAGTAAGTAGGTTGTAGTTGGGGTTATAAGTCCCCTAAGTGGGGTTATCCTAATTATAATCGACGAAAAACCTTACTTACTAAGTCCCATGAGCCTTCAAGTACATAGAAATATATGCAACTATATGTATATGTATATGTAGTATGAACCGTACAAGGTGTATGTACGTTTGTGCATGTATGTATATCTGTATATATGAAGAAGTACACAAACAAAGATAGATATCGTTAGCGTGGGTTCTGAACCTTAAACCGTAAACCCTATAGATGCTTTCAAGGAATCCTACTTAGAACCCGACTTACAACTACCCATGAACCTCCAAGTAGACCTTCAACTACCTTCTTTTAGACCCTAAATACCCATTTTCAAGGACCATAAGGGCTCCATGAAACACCCTTGACCCTTGCACCCTAAACCCTAACCTCAGAGGACGTCGACGGCGCTCATTTCATGGCCCAGGCGCGGGCGCCCTCGGAGGCCTTCGCTCCTCTGACCGCTGAGGGGGTGATGCGTGCGCTGGACCACTACGGAATTCAGGTCCACGGAACGGTTGCTGTTAAGGTTTTAGAAGGGTTCTATAAGGATAGTACACGGGTACTGTAAAGGGTAGGTTTTGCACCACTACTACGGAGTTCAGGTCCCGGGTTTAGGGTTTAGGGTGCAGGGTTTAGGGGGGTTTAGGCCCAGGGTTGGGGTGTAGTGTAGGTGTTTCGGGAAGTAAGGGTTCAGGGGTTTAGGCTGCACGGTAGGTTTAGAGGTTCAGGACCCTAAACCCCAAGCCCAAAAATTTACTTAACTACAAAGTTCAGGTCCAGGGGATCCACGCAGTCATCCTTGGACGATCTCATTTGGTGGGGCAGCCTTTGGCACTCTTGTTGGGCGCCCGGGGGGCCACGGTGACTCTTCTACACAGCCACAGCCAGGATCACAAGTCCTTGTGCGAGAAGGCCGATCTTCTTGTGTCGGCGGTTGCTGGGCTCTTGTTCAGGAGCATACCTGAAGGCTTAAGTTACACTCACAGAGATCTACAGTGAATAAGTTTTCGGCTTCCTGGCTATGGTCACTGAAGTTATTTCAGTTATATGATTTCCTTCTTAAAAACCTAAACCCTAAACCCTAAATGTGGCAACTGAAGTTAGAGTCCTTCACAAGATCCCAGGTTGGCAAGGCAAGGTTTGTGAAGAGCGACTGGATCAAGCCGGGTGCTGTGGTCGTCAACGTCGGCACCACTTTCACCGGAGAGTCGATCCTTAGGGGTACTTAGAAATAAGTTGTAATTTTTGGTTTTTATAAGCCCTAAGAAACAGCTAAAATTGTAATTTTTGCTTGGGTTCTAATTTCAGTATAGGATCGTGCCAGACATCCCTCCCATCAGCGAGTTGGGCCACGCTTTCCTGGTCGTCCGCACTCTGGGCCCTACTTCGGTCGCTCTTTGCCTCCGCAACGTGGCCCAGGCTGCGGCATTGCGCCCTGCCTTACCCGGGGCCACGGCTACTACGCCACTCCTCAGCAACGACGCCACCATGCAGCAGCTGCTGCGGTCTTGTTAAGGAGTTTGTTTCAAGTTACCATAAGAAGGAAACCATGAAGTATTTACACTATAGATCCCTGTTATGGTATTTCACTCCTGAAGAAGAACCCAGGTTGGCTTCGGTGCCGGGCTGGTCCCTCGCCTTCCACGAAAAACGGCCCTTCCTTACGAAGGATTTCTGGTTCCCAGCCTACTCCGTGGCTTGCCAGGCCGTGCAGGAGGTGTGCCAGAAGGCAAGGCTCATGAACCCGAAATTTCGGGATTTTGGCGGGTTTAGGGCTGAGGCTTTGGGGGTTCAGGGGTTTCGGGTTTAGGGGTTCGGGGGTTTGGGGCTTAGGCTTCGGGGGTCTAGGCCTTAAGCCCGAACCCCCTAAACGAAGCAAGCAGGCAGAGCTCATGAACCACCACCCGAATCTGAAGCTCGCGCACCATTGCACCCACGGGGCGGTCGTGACGGCCGAGATCTCCACCTACGTCTCCGGTGGAATCTTACTTGCTGACTTTAGGCTTTCGGGTTGAGCTTTTAAACTTGTAAAGTGATGGAGGTTTAGGGTTTAGGGTTTAGGGCTTAGGGTTTAGGGTTTAGGGCTTAGGGTTTAGGGTTTAGGGTTTAGGGAGCTCAAAGAAGATCTGAATCTTAAAACCTGAAGCCTGAAACGTTGAACCATCAGCCCCCAAGTTCTCAGCCATCAGCCCCAAATCCGCGACCCAAAACCGTCGACCCTCGGAACCTAAACCCTAAAGACCCCAACCCTATAGATCCCCTGTGGATCCCTTATGGGAGTTTCCGAAAGTAGGGGACCTTGATATAGTATCCTAAATAGTAGGATCCTTATTATAAGGAACCCCAAAAAGGTACCCCTAATTTTCGGAAACTCCCTTATAAATCCATTATGGATCCATCACAGATCCCCCAAGGATCTCTTTAAGGAACCTCCCTTGGAGGGTCGGGGGACTTAGTAAGTCTTAACAAGTAGAGGTAGAAGCATCCTAACAGGCATCTTCCTAATTGCGGTCGTGATACTTACAACACTATAACACAACCACTTACTAAACCCATAGATCCATGCTGCATCCCTATAGCCCGGTAAGGATTGCTTTAGAGGACGCCTAATCGGGGTTTCGAAAAAGAACTCCATAATATAGCTACTTCTTAGCTAAGTGGCACCTAGAGAGGTACCTTTTCAGAAATACTTTTTGGGGCCCCCAAACTACCACCCAGTCAAACCTTCTCGGCCAAGGAATCACGGACTTCGACTTCGCCTTAGCCAAGGTGATGGATCTTAGTAGGGAATGGGGGATAGTAGCCCCTTACAGTCCCTTAGAGCAGTCCCTTAAAGGTCCCTTATAAATTATAGTAGTCCCTTCTTAAGGTCCGTTATAGTAATCCCTTAAAGGTCCATCAGAGTAGTCCCTTAAGGTCCCTTATAGTAGCCCCTTAAAGGTCCCTTATGATAGTCCCTTAAAGGTCCCTTATGGTAAGGTCCCTTACAGTCGTCCCTTAAGGGTCCCTTAGAGTAGTCCCTTAAAGGTCCCTTATAGTAAGGTCCCTTATAGTAGTCCCTTGTAGTATTGTCCCTTATAGTAGTCCCTTATAGTAAAGTCCCTTAGAGTAGTCCTTGTCCCTTATAGTAGCCCCTTAAAGGTCCCTTATGATAGTCCCCTAAAGGTCCCTTATGGTAAGGTCCCTTACAGTCGTCCCTTAAAGGTCCCTTAGAGTAGTCCCTTAAAGGTCCCGTATAGTAAGGTCCCTTATAGTAGTCCCTTGTAGTAAGGTCCCTTATAGTAGTCCCTTATTGTAAGGTCCCTTAGAGTAGTCCCTTAAGGTCCCTTATAGTAGCCCCTTAAAGGTCTCTTATGATAGTCCCTTAAAGGTCCCTTATGGGAAGGTTCCTTACAGTCGTCCCTTAAAGGTCCCTTAGAGTAGTCCCTTAAAGGTTCCTTATAGTGAGGTCCCTTATAGTAGTCCCTTGTAGTAGGGTCCCTTATAGTAGTCCCTTATAGTAAGGTCCCTTAGAGTAGTCCGTTTCTTAAGGCCCCTTCCCGACTAAGAGCCCGACAGGCGATGGATCAGGTCTGCGCCTCCGAGGCTCCGGATCTGCAGAAGCACGTGCCGGAGGTGCACATGAAGGACGGGACGGGGTTCCTTTATAAGGGCTACCATAAGGGCTACTATAAGGGCTACTATAAGGGCTACTTTAAGGGCTACCATAAGGGCTACTATAAGGGCTACTATAAGAAGGGCTACCATAAGGGCTACTATAAGGGCTACTATAGGGGCTACCATAAGGGCTACCATAAAGGCTACTATAAGGGCTACTATAAGAAGGGCTACCATAAGGGCTACTAGAAGGGCTACTATAAGGGTCAGTGTTTTTTTTGGCTTTGGGGGTAGGGTTTCGCGTTTGGGGTTTGAGGTGGAGGGTTTATGGGTTCCTTGTAGGGGTTCCTACGAAGGGGCTCTTTTTAAGAGGGCTCCTTTGAAGGGTTCCTTTGGAGGGTTGTTTCTAAGAGCTCGTTGCAAGCGTTCATATGAAAGGTTCTTTCAAAGGGCTCATTTCAAAGTATCCTTCTCAGGGTTCCTTTTTAGTCAGTGTTAGTTTACGGTTTCTATGACGGTTTAGGGGTTCGGCTTCGAGAAATTAGTGGACAAGCCTTAACCTTGTTGAGGTCGTATATTCCCTCTGGCATCCCAACAGGTTAACCTCTAGCTAAGCCTGAAGCCCAAGGCCCAACCCGAAACAACCACCCCACACAAACTCCAAACCCGAGGCGCGCACTAAAAAAGGTGTTCTAACACATCTTTGAACCCTTAAACGCTGCACCCACCAACCGAGAAACCTCAAACTCTAGACACTAAACCGTTTACACTCCAAACCCTGATCCGTCAAAACCCAAAACCCGTAGCCTAAACGCGAAAGTCAATCTATCCTTGAAGAGCTCCGGAAACGCTCTTTTAGTGGTTCCTTCAAAGGGGGGTTTGGAGTTCTGTCAGGCTTTAGAGGTTTATGGTTTGGGGCTTAGGGTTTAGGGCTTAGGGTTTAGGGCTTAGGGTTGAGGGTTTAGGGCTAAGTGCTTAGGGGCTTCAGGGGTTTATCCAAGGGTACAAGGAGGGACCCTTAATAAGGACCCCTAGGTATTTACCCTCAATATAGCTATCATATACCCATTATATAGCCCATTATAGGGTAGGGGTCCCCATTAAGGGTCCCTCCTTTTCCCCTTTGGGTTTAGGGTTCATGACGCGAAGGATTTCGAGTACGAGTTGCCAGAGGAGCTGATCGCGAAATCCCCGGCGGAGGGCCGCAGGTCAAGGCTACTGCTCCCAGGCACCGTCAGTACTTACAGGATCATGGGTAGTTATAAGTGGGGTTATAAGTAGGGTAACTATACATATGACCCATATTAGGGGACTTGTAACTCCACTTATGCTAAGCTACTTAGAGGATCATGGGACTTAGTAAGTAGGTTATAATTGGGGTTATAAGTCCCTAAGTGGGTTTATCCTAATTATAACCTACTTATAACCTCACTTACTAAGTCCCATGAGCCTTCAAGTAGTTAGGAGCCTTGATGATTACCAATACCGTTGGGGATTCTTATGATAATTATAGTATAAAGCGCACCAAAACCCTTTTCTAATTAGTAAGGCCCCAGTATTATCGTTTTCGGGTTCGTTTAAGGGCCTTAGCAGGTTTGGGCTTTAGTAATCGGAAGAAGGGGTATTCTGTTTATTTGGTTGATATTGGGGAACGAGGCTAGTAAAACAACCCGGAACCCACATAAAAGGGCACAAACTCCTTATACCCAAAGGTTCGTAAAATCCGTAATGGGCCCACAGAAAAGGTTAGCAAAGTGACCTAAACCCTAAACCCTAAACCCTAAACCCTAAACCTTTGCAGCAACACCTGAGCAGCTCAGGCTCATTGAGGGCAGAAAGGAGGACGGGTGCCAAGAACTCCAGGACCTAATGGTTTAGGGTTTAGGGTTTAGGGTTCAGGGTTTAGGGTTTAGGGTTTAGGGGTTTAGGGTTTAGGGTTTAGGGTTTTAGGGTTTAAGGTTTAAGGAACCTGATTAAGAAACCCTAGCCCTGTAGCCCTTATGCATTAGGATTCATATAAGGAACCCTAGTACACGCCCCCCAGAGGTTTCTCAAACAGGGTCTTCTTTTATTGTTATAGTACCCTTATGGATCCCTTATAGTAACCCTTATACACCCCTTTAAAGGAACCCGAATAAAAGCACCCTAAAATTCCCTTAAACCCGAAACTCATAGAGGCCTTAAGCCCTACTTGGAGGGTCGGGGACTTAGCAAGTAGGTTATAATTAGACTTATACGTGCCTTAAAAGGGACCCTACTTGAAGGCTCATGGGACTTAGTAAGTAAGGTTATAAGTAGGTTATAAATAGGATAACCTCACTTAGGGGACTTATAACCCCAATTATAACCTGCTTACTAAGTCCCATGATCCTCTAAGTAATTGGGGTTATGGTATTTATAAGTCTCTAAAATCACTACTTACTAAGTCCCCCGACCCTCCAAGTAGAGCCCAAGAGCCGTCGACTCCTCAATATCAAAGGGGAAAAGGAGGGACCCTTAATGGGACCCCTACCCCATCATGGGCTATATCATGGGCTATATAATGATAGCTATATCAAGGGTATAGACCTAGGGGTCCTTATTAAGGGTCCCTCCTGTTACCCTGGGACAATAATAGGACCCTAAGCCCTTAGAGCCCGAAGACCCCAAAGCCCGAGAGCCCTTTTTTGGTACCCCATCTTGTAGCCCTTATTATAGTGGCAGTTAAAGCACCCCCCGTAGAATGTATAGACCCCAAACCCCTAAGCCCTAAAACCCCTAAACGGTTTAGATTGGGGTGTAGGGTGTAGGGAGAACTTTCAAGCCCAGGGCACCTTTTGGAGCCCTTCTAGCGATCCTCGTAACCCTTTATAGCAACCTTCGTGCTAAGCCTTTTGGAACCTTCAACCCTAAACCCTAAACCCAAAAACCTTAAACACTAAACCCAAAACCCTAAAGCGCTAAATCCTTAAACCCTAAAGCGCTAAATCCTTAAACCCTAAAGCGCTAAATCCTTAAACCCTAAAGCGCTAAATCCTTAAACCCTAAAGCGCTAAACCCAAAACCCTAAAGCGCTAAATCCTTAAACCCTAAAGCGCTAAATCCTTAAACCCTAAAGCGCTAAATCCTTAAGCCCTAAAGCGCTAAATCCTTAAACCCTAAAGCGCTAAATCCTTAAACCCTAAAGCGCTAAATCCTTAAACCCTAAAGCGCTAAATCCTTAAGCCCTAAAGCGCTAAATCCTTAAACCCTAAAGCGCTGAATCCTTAAACCCTAAAGCGCTAAATCCTTAAACCCTAAAGCGCTAAATCCTTAAACCCTAAAGCGCTAAATCCTTAAGCCCTAAAGCGCTAAATCCTTAAACCCTAAAGCGCTAAATCCTTAAGCCCTAAAGCGCTAAATCCTTAAGCCCTAAAGCGCTAAATCCTTAAGCCCTAAAAGGGCTAAACCCTTAAACCCTAAAGCGCTAAATCCTTAAACCCTAAAGCGCCAAATCCTTAAACCCTAAAGCGCTAAATCCTTAAACCCTAAAGCGCTAAATCCTTAAACCCTAAAGCGCTAAATCCTTAAGCCCTAAAGCGCCAAATCCTTAAACCCTAAAGCGCTAAATCCTTAAACCCTAAAGCGCTAAATCCTTAAACCCTAAAGCGCTAAATCCTTAAACCCTAAAGCGCCAAATCCTTAAACCCTAAAGCGCTAAATCCTTAAACCCTAAAGCGCTAAATCCTTAAACCCTAAAGCGCTAAATCCTTAAGCCCTAAAGCGCCAAATCCTTAAACCCTAAAGCGCTAGATCCTTAAACCCTAAAGCGCTAAATCCTTAAACCCTAAAGCGCTAAATCCTTAAACCCTAAAGCGCTAAATCCTTAAGCCCTAAAGCGCTAAATCCTTAAGCCCTAAAGCGCTAAATCCTTAAGCCCTAAAGCGCTAAATCCTTAAACCCTAAAGCGCTAAATCCTTAAACCCTACAACCCTAAAGCAACTGAAGGACCGCCAGTTCCTCGACTTGCCGAGCCTCCTTCCCTCAAGGCTGGAGGGGGTGGGTGTGAGTTTGGGGTTTAGGGTTTAGGGTTTAGGGTTTAGGGTTACGTACTGTAGAAGCCAGAAAGTTGGAACATCGTTGTCCTCATACCCTTAAGGTAGAGTAGAGGGGATCCTAGCACTAATCCTCCTAAAGCCATGTTCCAACTTTCTGTCTTCTACTATAAGGGTTTGGGGTTACTTTAGAGTTCCTTAAGGGTCATCGTGAGGGTGAGAGCGTAGGGCTTAGGGTTACTTTAGGGACTCCTTCAGGGTTACTCTAAGGGCGGGAGTGTGCGGCTTTTCGGGGTTGCTTTGGATTGGGGTTTAGGGTTAAGGGACTGGTTTTGGATTGGCGTGTCGAGAACACTGGAGGATGCTGCATGCTGTGCATGCTGCGGTGAAGCTGTGACGGGATTGGGTTGAGGGTTTGGAGTCTTGCAAACCCTTAGAGTCATAGAGACATTGCTTATGGACCAAGGAGCTCATTAAGTAGGGGTATACAGAGGGAAAGTATTTCATTAGGTATTTACACCCCTAGTTACTTAAGGATCCAAGTATAAAGCTGGAATGGAAGAAGTAGAAGCCCGTACAAAACACTAGAAAGCTCTCATGAACTGCTACCAAGCGCAATAAAACCACGGTAAAAACCAATAACGCCCATAACAACGTCATGGCGACCTTGTTCCTGTTGGAGGTTCCTGGTCGTTCCAAGTACTCGTAGGTTTATAAGTACGGTTACTAGTCTCATTTCCCATATTAGGCGACATAACCCCACTTATAGCTGCCCATGAACCTCCGAGTAAGCCCTAAACCCCAAACCCTAAAGAACCCTTGAAGGAACCCTTAAAGGAACCCCTAAAGGAGCCCTTCAAGGAACCCTTATGACTACCCATGAAGCTCCAGGTAAACACCCCCAGAGCCCCCACAGAAACCGCCCTGGAAAGCCACAAAGACGGAGCCGTGGAGGCCTGAACAACCCAAAACCTTGTTTTGGTGGTTCTTTAGTATAGCTGTGGTATATTTTCACCAGCAAAGCCTAGTCTTATTATCAAGGCCACTGTATTAAGTCCCGAATAAAGCTTCAACCCTACAGCTCGAAGCTTAATCCCTAAACCCGAAAACTCGAAACCCAAAGCCCCAAAAGCCTACACCCAAAGCCCCAAAACCTAGACCCTAAACCCTAAACCCCACAGTTGATGCTCCGTTCAAGGCAGAGAGCCCAATACCCCTTAATTAAGGAAAACCTAGGGCCTAGGGTTCCCTTAACGGATCTGTAGGGTTTAGCTTAAATCATAATATGAAGCCCCTAACGATTTAAGGTATATTCCTTAAATTCACGGTTATTTGGCTCTCCGGGAATAGGCTTTCGGGGCCCATTATACTATAGTTACAATAAGGACCCCCCCAAAATGGTATTGGGACTTACTTAGGTCCCTATGTTAGACTGCGCGGAAGCCCTTTCAAGCAGGGCACACCTGGTCTTCAACGAGTCGAAGGTCATCTCGGCTCGGATGTTCGCCCACATGGACGCATCAGGTCCACCCGTGGAGGTTACGTGGCTGCTTTGAGAGCTTTTGTAGGATCTTATTGGGTACTTACAGTGGTTTTCTAGCTTTCTTTTTGCAGTGGGGTTGCATAATTTTTTATAGGTCTTTTTTTTGATTTTGTGTGGCCAATCCGTTGTTTGCTTTTAAGGGGCGTATATCTGATCTATGGGGGTTCAAGGTCTTCAGGACTGTAGGGCTTGATTTTTTTTGGCCTAGGGTTATAGGAATGAATAAGTCCTGAATTCTTGGGTTTAGGGTTTAGACTTTAGGGTTCGGGGTTTAGGGTTTGGGGTATGGAGGCCACAAGTTCAGGTTGCAGATTTTACTTGGAGGGTCGGGGGACTTAGTAAGCAGGTTATAAGTAGACTTATAAGTGCCTTAAAAGGAACCCTAATTGGGGTTATGGTACTTATAAGTCTCTAAAACAAATACCTACTAAGTCCCCCGACCCTCCAAGTAGACGCCAGCCAAGGTTATGTTCCTTGCTCCCCACAGCCTGGCCGAAACTTGGTCCGGCAGTCCATTGATATGTTTCACATCTTCTCCTTACATGGGGGCTCCAGAGGATATTTAGGGCTTAGGGTTTGGGGATTTAGGGTTGAGTGGTTTAGGGGTTATGGCTTCAGAGAGCAAAACACATATTTTTGTACGAGCACCATGTTTCTAGGGCCAGCCTAGGAAATGCTGCCCACGAACGCCGCAGAAGCACTGCACCGGGCTTGCCACGGGCAGCTTTGGAATGCCATGATCCGGATGCCTCTTCGCGAGGCAGGTGCGATCTTCACCGTTCCCTCGAAGTCTTCGGCAAGTTTGTCCGTGGAAGTGGTCCAGCTCTCCTCGAGACCCGGCTCTTGCTGAGGAACTTAGTTTCAAGTTACCGTCATGGGGATATATGTCTTACCCATCGAATTTGGCTTAAGTTCTTGAACAAGAACCGAGGGAAATCGCTGGAGCCCTTAGCCATGCATACCCCAAGCACGAAGGGAACGGTTCGGCCCCCTAAAGCTCTCTACCCCTAAAACCCAAAACCCTCAGATCCCCAAGCCTTAAACCTAAAACTAAAACCCTAAATCCTTAGATCCCTAAGCTCTAAACCCTCAATTCCTAAAGCCCTGAACCCTTAGATCCCGAAGCTCTAAACCCTAAACTCCTAAAGCTTTAAACCCTTGGATGGATCCCTAAGCCCTAAACCCCTAAAGCCCTAGACCATCAAACGTCCTGAAACCCGTAGATCCAGCACTCAAAAAACACCCCTAGGTTCCTCACTCGTCCCCTTTTGCCTTTCTCATGTTGAGGTCTCCGTATCAAAATCGAATACTAGGAAAATAGGGTACCCGGAGTATTACGATATATTAAGAACAAAGGGGTACCCTTATCGTAAAGGGTTGCTGGAGAACCCAGACGCCCAAAGCCCCAGGAAGTGGGTTTTAGCTGTCTCTGAGAGATCATAGTGACCCAAGCTTGAATGTTATTTCCAAGTATTTCAAGAACGCCCCTGGAAGCTGGAAGATTGCACACCCTAAATCCCAAACGATAGAGCAGGAAGCGTGTCGTGGAAGTAGGTCTTTGAGGCTGTGGGGGAGTATAGAAACCACAAATCCCTAAGCCCCAAACCTAAACCCCAAGCCCTGTTTCACCGCATGCCTCACGCCAGAGGAAAAATCGTGGGAGGGTAGGGTCTAACATGTGTAAAAAAAAACCCCAAGCCCCAGGAAGTGGGTCGAGGAAGGGGAGGCGGAAGGAGTGGAGGCGGTCGTCCGCCTGAGCTGCAGCGACCGGAGCCTCCTGGCGAGCGAGGCTGGGGATCGAAACTGCGAGGTCTCTTTGGGGTTCCTTTAAGGGTCCCTTTAAAGGGATCTATAGGGATTCTAGAAGGGTATAGGGTTTAGGAGTTACTTGGAGGTTCATGGGTAGTTATAAGGGGAGGTAGAAGTCCCCGAATATGGGTTATAAGGATAGTTACCATGCTTATAACCCCACTTATGACTACCCATGAACCTCCAAGTACTCCAGGGCATACTCTGAGGAGTATTATAGGGGAGACTCTAGGGGATGGTATAAGGAATGCTACAATGGTTAGGGGATACACTGAGGGTTGCGATTTTACTCTAAGGGGTACGACTACAAGGGCTGCGATGTTGCTCTAGGGGATACTATAAGGGTTATAATACGGTCTGCTATAAGGGTTACTATAAGAGCTCCACAGGAGCTACTATGAGCGGTGGGGGTTAGGGTTTGGGGGTTTGGGGTTCAGGTTTGCAGGGCTTGGGGTTTAGGGTTGCCGGGTCTAGGTGTTTAGGCTTTAGGGGTCTAGGATTTAGGGTTTTGAGGTTTGGTAAACTCGAAAGAGCGTCATAGCGCCTTCTAACACCGTAAACTAGTACCCCGTACACCCTAAAGGCTGCCGCGAAACCCTATATCACCATTAAGCAGAATCTCGAAATGAAAGGCCTTCGGGCAGTTTGGGCACATCCCGCTGCCGCCCTACATGCGCCGAGATGCTGAAGCCAAAGACTTGCAGGAATCATGCGGTCACACCAATCACAGGGCGTAATATGGGGGGCCTTAATAGTTACCTATATACTATTTTGGAGGTTCCTTAACATGTTATATTAGAATGGGCCCCAAAACCCTAGCATAATGCCTCCATAGTAGGGTTCAGGCTTCAGTTGGCTCAGTTGGTGTTGTGCTTGGGGCTTTTCCTGCAGAGTGGCGAGATAGAGTCGGCAACAACTTGACAGGACTACCAAACCGTCTACGCCAAAGAAGACGCCTGCGGTGGCTTGGTAGTAGAGTAAACAACCTTTAACTTGTCAACTTGTGAGAGGCTGTAGCCCCCTTTTAAATTCCAACCTAAACTCAAAACCTAAACCCTACAAAAGCTGGACAAATGAGGTAGTGTGGCGGCGCCCACGGCGGGGCTTCATTTTACCGACGAGCTTCTGGGCAGCTTGGAGGCGAAGGGCATCCGCCGCTCGCCCGTGACGCTCCACGTGGGTGCTGGGACGTTTCGCCCGGTGACGGCGAAGCAGGCATAAGAGTGCTATTGCTACTTTCATGACGATTAGTATTATTACTATTACTATCATGTTTGTATAACAAGTACTACAGCTACTAGTCATTTATGCCGATTAATACGATATTTGCTAGTATCTAGCTAGTCATGATCAATACTAGGGTTAGGGCTTAGGCTGGACAATGCATCTCCATGTCGCCGCTTCCTGAAGGTGTCGGAGCACGCCATGCATACCGAGTCCTTCTCGATGGAGGTTTCGGTCATAGAGCAACAATAGTATCAACAGAATTGCAATAGCAATACTATTAGTAGCAGAGCAAGGGCATAGTTTTCATGTACACTTTACGTTACATAGTCGTTGTTAGCAGGTTTTAGATGGTACGTAGTAAGTACCAATAGTAGATAACAGCAGCTAGACTATACTTCATAATCAAGAATAAGAAGTAGCAGTAACAAGTAACAGCTCGTACTGACACTGTTGAGTAATAACAAGCAGCAACAGCAGCTACCAATAAGCATACAAAGTGCATAATGAATGAAGTAGTTGGTTCACGAACCAATCAGCTCAATAACTCAGAAAATCACAAGAGGATCCGTTAATCAGGTAAGGAAAGACAACAACGATTTCAGTAATAGTCGCAAGTAACACCATTACCACCAGTACTCAAAGCAATTATCAGAACAATAGCTTTCACTGCGGCAGCAACAGTAATCATCATAATTTCCTTCCCGATGGAGGTTTCGGCCCTCGAGGAAGTAGCGAAGAGCTTGAAGGACAAGCGACCCGCGCTTTGGGCAGCATATGCTCACACACGTATCTTCATAGCTTTAAAGAGTTACGCTATAGGGTGGTATTACATATGTATATATATATATATATATATATTCACTTTTATACACACACACATATATACACGTATATTGTCTGACACACACACACAAATATAGGTATTGATATGTATATATATATATATATGTATGTGCATGAATACGTTTACTCATTATTTATGTAGAACGATTGAGACAGACCCGTCTACTCCACTCTCTAAATCTGGCATACACCAGATTATGGCTCGGCTCAGCCTGGTGTAGTGTTGATGTCGTCGCTCGAGCTCAGATTTTGCAATGCCCTGTCTTGCTCAAATATTTGCTTTCGCACCAAGAGTAAGCTAGTAAAAAGTTGGTGCATGATGGTTCTACACTAAAGCATGCCCGAAAGCTAACACTCCAGAAAGCCTCCTACACCTAAACCCTAAGCCCCCAAACCCTAAACCCTTAAATCCTGAACCATGTAAAGTCTATACATCCCAGGTGGTTGCTGTGGGAACTACCACAGTCCGGACCCTCGAATCGCTTTACTGGTTGGCCAGCAACCCGCAGCGAAGCTTGGCGCAGGGCCTGCGCCTTGGGCAGTGGGAAGCCTACAGCATGAAGGAGGAGCAAACCCTAAACCCTAACCCCTAAACCCTAAACCGTCGCTCAAAAGCTCAAAAAAAAGGAGCCTAAACCGTAAACCCTAAATCCTGAACCCTAAACCCTAACCCCAAAGCGGCCCTAAAAGGACTGAGATCTTTCAAATCCCTATCAAGTCCTGCACAGCCCCATGATACCCTATAACGCCTCTTTTGATCTTACGAGCAACCATACAACAATATAGTATAGGGGCTCTTAAAGGGGTACTTTCGGGTTCACCGTACGGGCCTTAGTTTAGAATCTATGAATGAGGAGCGAGAAAGTGATTCAGGTTTAAGTTCAGGATTTATCGTTCGAAATTTGGGTCCAAGGACAAGTGAGGAAACGGCTGTTGGCGAAGTTATCGACATCCGCCCTCTCCCCAATGTTGAACGTTGTGCACTCCACTCGGAACCCCCACTACAGACAGAAGTCTGAACTGCAAAGAACATCAGACGTAAACCCTCTTAACCCCGCAGCAGGAACCGGAACCCCACGCCCGACACCGTCAGAAACCATAGCATCCCTTACATGAACAACCTCACAAACTAGGACACAACTCTTTATATCTATCGATCTATATACAGACATAGATACATGCAGTTTGTATTTAGGTATTCCAATCTTAAGAATGAAGGATCCCTAACCCCACCACGCTTCCCTCGCGAGGAGGGTGCCGGTGGCTTGCCTGCAGCGGAGGCGCTGCAGCGACTCTGCGACGAGGCGAAGAAGGTCGGCTTAACCCACGTCTCTCGGCATCATTGTAGAGTTTAGGGAGGTTAGGGTGTGGGGTTCGGGGGTGTAGGGTTTGGGGAACCCTAAATCTTGGCCCTAAAGCCCCTAATGTAGGAACCTGATCAGGAAACCCTGGGCCTATATCCCCAGAATGATAGGATTCATCTAAGGAACCCTAAAAAAACCCATAGGTTTCTTAATCAGGGTCCTTTATTATTTTAGTACCCTTATGGATCGCCTGTAGTAGCCCTTATAGACCCCTTTAAGGGCCCTCTAAATCCCCAAACCCTAAGCCCGACTAAGCAAAAGCCCCCCCCGAAAGATGAGATGCGGCGAGGAGTGGAGTCGGTTCTGCTTGGAGGTTCATGGGTAGTTATAAGTAGAGTTATAAGTAGGGTAACTGTGCTTATAACCCATATTCGGGGACTTATAACCCCGCTTATAACTACCCGTGAACCTCCAAGTTCTAGTTTGGCTTCATGTTGCAGCTTCCGAGGTCATCCCAGGCTGCAGCGATGTGACCCTTCAACTCATTCGCCCAGGAATAACATCCCATTTTCGTCCTTGCACAAACCCTAAACCCGAAGCTCTAAACCCCGAACCCTAAATCCTCGACCCTAAACCTGTGGACGCTGTAAACCCTAAACCCTAAGCTCTAAACCCCAAACCCTGAACCCAATGACTACAAGATGGTCATGTCTCACCAGCGTGTGCCTGTATAGGTAGACTTAGGTCATCACGCTTCAAAAACAAGCCCGAACCCTAAAGCCTCAATCCTAAACCCTACGCCGCTGTAACCTTGCTGACTGAGGTGGCCGGCTCCACGAGTTTGTGCATCGTTCCAGGCTACCAGTTCAAGGTGGGGTCCCAGAGACTCCAATACCCCTTAATTAAGGAATATTCCTTAAATTATAATAGGATCCCTAATATGATTTTAGGAGTATTCCTTATTTAAGGGGTATTGGAGTCTCTGGGGTCAGCGGGGCCTTGTGGGGGTCTAGTGGGGCTTCAGAGGGTTATAAGGGTTTCTTCAGAATATGGTTTCAGTGGGTATGTGCATATCTGCATATAGGTATATCATGTACGGTATATCATTGTATATATCTGTATGATACTGGTACGTGTCCAGATTTCTGTCCAAGGATTCCCTAATTAGATGCATGCCAAAGGGCCGCGCCCGAATCGGACACTACACCCCAAATGCAGGAAATGCGATATATATATATATATATATATATCTAGATATATATCTTCAAGTCATGGTCCCCGAACAGGGGTTTACAGGTTAAATCAGGGTAGCTTGCACCATCTATGAGAAGGTTGCTTTTATTCTTGCCCGACTTGGGCTGAGGATTTACTTAGGGGTACTTAGAAACAATTTGAGTTTTTGGTTCTTATAATCCCTAAGAAACAGCTAAAATTCTAATTTTTGCTAGGGTTCTAAGTTCAGTATAGTTTACATGAACTCACCAAATCTGCCGTTTTAGGATACCCCTTGCTGCAATTTTTCTTAAGGCTTCCGGGGTTCAGGTAGGGCTTACAGGGAACTCCAGAAAGTTGGAATATGGTTTCAGGGTAGGATACCTTATAATTTACCATAAAGGGTTTAGGATAATCATATTCCAACTTTCTGACTTTTACTGTAGGGAGACCAGCCTCATCATAGAAGCCTGATGGGACTGTGACCTGGGTTTTGCTTTGGGATAATTTTTAATTTCCCTCATTTCCTTATAAAGGGGACCTATTCATAAATAGTTTTCAAAGGGTTTAAAGCACATCCCAGTAACCCTTACAAGAGCCCTCGTTATACAAAGCTTTAAGCGAGCTTAACCTTTGTTCTAAAATAGTTTTTTCTTTTCGTATAGCGCGCTTCAAGGGGGTTAGGGGTTTAGTTTTTTTTTCTTCCGGCGCTCCAAGGTGGTCCACGATCTCGTCACGAACTTCCACCAGCCGGAGTCTTGGAAGAAAGCCAGCGACACGAAACCATCAAGGTCGCTTGAAGGGCTCCGTTCCTTCTCAGTGTTCCTTTCAAGGCCTTTACTGTGGAAGCCAGAAAGTTGGAACATCATGCTCCTCATGCCCTTAAGGTAAAGTATAAGGGATTCTGGCGCTCATCCCCCCAATCCCATGTTCCAAATTTCTTGGATTTGCTGTATATGGTCTAAGGTCTCGGACGTACAGCCCTACGACTTAATGGAGTTTCGTCTTTTGGTGGACGTTTGGGCTTGGGCGTGTAAGGATTTTGTTTGGAAGCCGTCATAAAGCTTTTGGACCTGAAGCCAAAACTCCCGGAAACCCACCCAGTAGAACACATCCTTGAGGACAGCACCCTGCTGCTGCTGGTCGCGGCCTTTACCTCTAGGGCCACCTTGCTCAATGCCTATGCCCATGCGGTGGCTAACAAGTATCGCTTCCTGCCCCCTGGTACCAAAAAGGGATTTGGGGGTTTCCGAAAATAGGGGACCCTAATATAGTACCCCAAATAGTACGTAGGATCCTTATTATAAGAACCCCAAAATATGGTACCCCTAATTTTCGGAAACCCCCATTTAGAGTTTGCAGGGGTTTGGGACATGAGTTCAGAGTTTAGGCCTACTTGAAGGCTCATGGGACTTAGTAAGTAAGGTTATAAGTAGGTTATAATTAGGATAACCCCACTTAGGGGACTTATAACCCCAATTATAGCCTACTTACTAAGTCCCATGATCCTCTAAGTAGTCTTGAAAGTATTTCCATCTTCTTCCTTCCATCCATTTGTAGCTATTCCCCACGTGTTTGAATCTGTCTTGGAGCCATGCTTACATGGGTTCGGAATAAATTGATAGATAGTATCTCCTGTTTTGCTTTTTTTGTATCCTTTTATATGTCTCCAGAGCCCTATTCCAGTTATTGAGGCCCCTATCTTAGGTCCTATGGCGATGCTTGCTTGTTCCTGTCGGAAGAGACGGCCGCCGCGGCCAAGACCGAGCGTTCCGCAAGCAATGCCCAGGAGGGCGCTAAGTAGGGCTCCCTGTCAGGTTTACTTGAGGTTTAAGTTTAGGGTAGTCGTAAGTGGGGGTATAAGTCCCCTAGTATGGGTTGTAAGCATAGTTACCGTACTCATATGGGTGGTTGTCAAAATTGTGGTCCCTTTATGGGTCCCTATTATAATACGGCACCTAGTATTTAAGGTACCCCAAAAAGGGACCATAAGTTTGACAACTACCCTTATCCCTGCTTGTTCCCATGAACCTCCACGAGAGTTTAGGGATCTGCGGTGGAGGGTTGTGCATCCCAGGGCTTTGGCTTCGGGGTTTCGGGGTTTCGGGGTTTCGGGGGTTCAGGGGCTCATGGGTTTACGAGTTTAGGGGTTTAGGGGTTTACGGGTTTAGGGGTTTAAGGGTTTAGGGTTTAGGGTTCAAGGGTTTAAGGGTTTCAGGGTTTCAGGGTTTAAGGGTTTGCGGGTTTACGGGTTTAGGGGTTTACGGGTTTAGGGGTTTAGGGTTTAGGTTTAAGGGTGTAAGGGTTTAAGGGACTTACGGGTTTAGGGTCTGCATTAGGGTTCAGGGGTTTGGGGATTTAGGGGCTTCGGGGTAGAGGGCATTGGGTTTAGGGTTTCTTAGGAATTCAGCTGTTCAAGCTTCAGAGAGCTGCCAACTTGGTATCAGGTTTTAAAGTCGAGTTTAGGCTATGAAGGCTTTCGGCTTTATGTGGTGCGGTGTATTTTTAAGGTCAGAGTCATTGAGATGATTAGCTTTGTGTCAGGGTTGAGAACTCCAGGTATAGGACGATTATAGGACTATAGGACTATAGGACTATAGGACTCTGCGACTACAGGACTATGGGACTATAGGACTATAGGACGAAAGGGTTCAGGGGTTGAGGGTTTAGGGTTTAGGGTTCCAGCTGTAGGACTATAGGACAGCAGGATGTTTCGTCTCAGATGTCGGAGCAACATCTTGGACACGGGACTTGAGGCAGCTGCTTTTGGGGTTGCAAAAGAAACCAAAACGACTTTAAACCCTGGACTTAGGATGTCCTTAAGGGGGGGTGGTCCAAGGGGGGTAGGTAACCTAGTAATCCCCATTATTCCCCAATACTCCCTAAGCTTCCCTAAGGTTCCCCAAAGCTCCCTAGTACCCTCCCCCCTTGAACCACCCCCCCTTAAGGATCCTATAATGGACTGCAAACCCTGAAACCCAAAGTCCAAAGATCCTAAACTCCAAACCCTGAAGCCGAAACCAAAGACCCTGAGATGAGTTCGGTGACTACTGCTGTTGATGAATAAAAAACCTGTATGGCCCATAATAAGGGAATATGCCACAATTCCCATAGTTTAGGGTCCTTAAGGTAATGCAGGATTTATATCATCAACCGTGAGGGAGCTTCTTTTTCCTTGGTGCACACTCGTCAAGAGTGAGCTGAGGGTTCTCGCTACAGCAGTTCGAAAGGCTCATTGCACTATAAAGGAAACCCAAAACCCCAAAACCCCAAAACCCTAAACCCCAAACCCTGAACCCCCAAACCCCAAACCCTTAAACCCCAAAACCCAAAGCCCAAAACCCCAAAGCCCAAAACCCCCAAAGCCCAAAAGCGCAGACCCCGTACGTCGCGAGGACCCCAAAGCCACGAGGCAGCCGAAGGCAGGGGAGAAGCTGGGTTCTGGTTAAGGAATTTGATTTACGTTACTGTAATAATCAGAAAAGCCATATTAGTTACTATAGATCCCTATTATGGTAACTTAGATTACATTCCTTAAAAAGAACTCAGGAAGGTGCTCCTACACTCTTGCTGCGCTCCATGCTCAGGACATGGGGGGGGTTAGGGGTTTAGGGCTTTAGTGGTTCAGAGTTCTTAGTCTAGGGTTTAGGGGTTTACTGGTTTGGGGTTCTTAGGGTTTAGGGGTTCAGGGTTCTTAGGGTTTAGGGTTTAGGTTACCCCAAATAACCACCTGTCTAAGAATTTCTTTGAGGAACCCATTATAAGGAACTCTAAGCATGCAGTCCTCTTGCGGGGAGGCATTCCCTAAACCCTAAACACGAACAGAAACCCTAAACCCCTAAACCCTAAACCGCAATCTTGGGACTTTTTTTGAAGTTCTACTCTGTTTGTCTGGCGGTTTGTCTATATCTGAGGGACCCTACGGCTGATGGGTTCCTTCAAGGGTACCTTTAAAGGGAACTCCAGAAAGTTGGAATATGGATTAATGGCAGGATCCCCTATAATTTACCTTAAAGGGGTTACGATAATGATATTCCAACTTTCTGGCTTCTACTGTAAGGGGATCCTTTAAGGGTTCCTTTGAGGGATCTATAGGGGCTGTTTTGTTGGTACTGTAGGAAGTGGACAACGGTTGAGGATATAAATCCTGCATTACCCATAATCCGGAATATACCGCAACTACCATAGTTTAGGGTCATTGCAGGATTTATATCATCAACTGTAGTGCGACGATCCTCGTTATGCGCCCGCAGTGCTTCTTGAGCTTTCAGAGTTTCCATGGTCTGCAGCCAGTGAAACGCACTCAGCCCTAAGCCCAAAAACCCAAACCCTCAACCCTGGGGCCCTAACAATCCCTGAAACCCAAACCCCAAGAATCTCAACCCTAAACCTTTAACGCTTCTGCAGGAGCCATGATTGAGGAAATGCACACCAAAGGTCTGGACGTGACCATCTTCTTCTACAATCCAAACATCCATCCCCGCAAGGACTTTGGTTGCATCATTCTCGGACTCACGAGTATCCTTGGAAGTAAGGCTCCCTCATGAAGGCTTGTATTAACCGGAAAAGTTTCAGGATTTTTGCGTAAAGTTAAAGATTATTTCGGGGTTTCTGTGAGAAGTTCATCGTGGGATGCTGAAGGGAGGGGGGTATACTTGGAGGGTCGGGGGACTTAGTAAGTAGTTATTTTAGAGACTTATAAGTACCATAACCCCAATTAGGGTCCCTTTTAAGGCACTTATAAGTCTACTTATAACCTACTTACTAAGTCCCCCGACCCTCCAAGTATAAGCTAGTCATCCCGAACTCTCCTTAGTACTCCCTAAGGTTCCCTAATGATCCCTGCAGTGCCCTCTCCCTTGAACCAGCCTCCCTTCAAGGTCCTAGAAGCCTAGGGGTGCACTTTGGGAAACTTGTTCATTTCCGTTACGGTTCCTACAGATGTACCTTTTCATTCATGCTTTCGGCGGCCCCAAGACTACAACCCAGAAGCTCAGGAGTATGAGATTCGCAAGAACGAGAATGTTCGCTACGCAGAGGCCCTGGGAATCCCCTTCGTCGACTGCGACTACGACGTGGAAGAGTCACCAGCCTGATGCACCCTAAACCCTAAACCCCTGAACCCCTAAACCCTAAACCCTGAAACCCTAAACCCCTAAACCCTAAACCCCTAAACCCTAAAACCCTAAATCCTAAACCCTAAACAAGCTTTTTCGCAGTTTCAGAAGATCAGGGGCCCCAGTATGAGCCCTCAGCCACAGGATCCTTATTATCAGAGGCCCCCGTGAGCCCCAGCAGTACCGTAGGGGCCTTAATAATTTCCTATATATATATATATATATTATTATTTTATTTTTTTTGGGGGGGTTCCTGGCTACAATTCATAGTATAATGGGCCCCCAAACCCTATCCTAATTATGATGGCCCCTATGTTAGAGTGCTTGCTCAGTTTTCCACGAAGTGTCGAGTCTCCACGAGCAGGTGGTATGCCCGAGCGAAGGGAATGGAGTACTGCCTGGAGCGAGGGCCAAGGTGCTCCATGTGCTTCCGGGTTATTGTTAAGGGACTTACTTTATGCTACCATAAAAAGGAAGCCAGATTATTTAACAATTTAATTTAGATCCTTATTATGGTAACTTAAATTAAATCCCTTAAGAAGAACCCAGGCTTCGACATGCGGCTTGAGCGAACTGCTCTTCATGCTCATGAGCATGGTTTCCAATGGTTTACGACGACCAACGCAACCAGCAGGTGGAAGGATGCGCAGCAAGTCAATGCATCGGGTGTGAAGGCTGCATTCAACTATCCTGGCACGACCTACTGGGTGTATGACTGGCAGACGGAGTCCATGAATGAGAGAAAATACGAGGTGAATGCCAAGCATCAGTTCTACAAGCAGGAGTATCTGGGTGCCAGTTTGGGATGATCAGGAATTCCGATTCATCGACACTTTTGAAGGATGCTCGTAACCCTAAACCCGGAAACCCCTAAACCCTCAACCACTACTGATAACCCCCAAAAACCCAGAATCGTAGACTGCTGCCCAGGTATTGCCTCAATCCCCTTAAACCTGTAAATCCCAAACCCCTCATTCTAAACTGCTGCCTAGGTGTTGCCTTAATCCCTTAACTCTGTAAATCCTAAACCCCTCATCCTAAACTGCCCTGAAACCCTAAACCCCTGAATCCTAAACCCCTCATCCTAAACTGCTGCCCAGGTATTGTGGCTGCAGCTACAGCCTCCGCGACAACAACTACTTCCGGTCGAAGGATCGGCCTCACAAGCCCGAAACTGCAAGCCCCATGGGACTTGTCCCCTAAGTGGGGTTGTCATAATAATAACTTACTTATAGCCCCGAACCCTTTTCCTCTTTTAGCCGCCCTAAAAAGCTTCGAAAGCCCTGCGAAGGAGGGACTCCCTCCGATCAAGATCGGCGGCGGCGATGTGTACAGCGACCCAGCCGCGGACGCCGCGGAGGAGAGCGAGGAGGCGCGGAGGAGAAGGTTTTTTCAGGGGTTCAGGTAGGATTCCTTGAAGGGTTTAGGGTTCCTTGAAAGGATCTATGAATTAAGGATGTTTTTTCAAGAATGAAGGTAGGATTCCTTGAAGGGTTTATAGGGTTCCTTGAAAGGATCTATAAGGGTTCGGATAGGATTGGTTCTACAGTAGGTGATTGAGGGTTTGGGATGTACATGGAGGTTCACGGGTAGTTGTAAGTAGGGTAACTATACATATAACCCATATCAGGGACCTTATAACCCTACCTATAACTACCCATGGACCTCCAAGTAGGGTTTAAAGTGTAGGTTCTAGTCTTGAACGACCTTGGCTGTAGGATTTTCGGAGTTCGGCTTTGAAGAGCCTACTTGGAGGTTCATGGGGAGTTTATAGTGTTGTAAGTAAGGTATCAAAACATCAGATCAGGGGACTGACAACGATGAGAGTAGGGTTGCTTTAAAGGTTTCCTTTGAGGGATACTGTAAGGTACTACTGTAAGGGTTTCGTATAGGGGCCTTCATAATTAGAACAGGGTTTTGGGTGATATTTTCCTATATTTATAAGAAGGAGCCCTCCACTTGGAGGGGCAGGGTACTTAGTAAGTAGGGTTATAAGTAGGGTTATTGTTGGGGTAACTCCAGTTAGGGTACTTATAACTTTACCTATAACCTACTTACTAAGTCCCCTGCCCCTCCAAGCAAAACCCTGTTCTAATAAGGTTCTAGGGTTGAGGGCTGAGGGTGACGAACAAGCCGCGTCTTAGAGGGCCTCAATAACAAGCAGATCCCATCCCTTAACCCTCTAAACCCTAAAGGACCCTAAACCCTAAACCAGATCCTTTTGTTGGGGTAGGGACCCTTACTCGCCAGAAACCCAAAACCCCAAGCCCGAAACCCACCGCCCGGTGCCGGAAGATGCCCAGCTCTTCAAGAACCCGAGATCTCGAAGCCCTACCCTAAGGGCCCAAGTACCTAAGTGTCATATGGGAGTTTCCGAAAATTGGGGGGTACCTCATTGGGGTACCCTAAATAGTAGGTGCCGTATTGTAATAGGGACCCAAAAACGGACCATAATTTTGACAACCACCCATCTACTCCCCCAAACAGAAAAACACACAGATACTATCCATTATTGGGTACTTTGGACCCTTAGCCCCAGGCAACCTAGAATGCCGGCTCTACACCTGAAAGTTCAATGCGTCCCTGCGTCCTGAACCCTAAACACTAGTTCCCAAACCCTCAAACCCAAACCCGTAAACCCTAAAGCCTCAACCCTAAACCCTAAACACCCAAAAGCCCCAAACCCCAGACACACCCTTATAGCACCCTTATAGTATCCTTAGTGCAGCCTTATAGTACCCTTATAGTACCCCTTGCAGGAACCCTAAACCCGAAGCCACCTGCAGGTGGTCTCGGGCTTCTTTGCAGAGGCCAAACGCATGGAAGAGATCCACGGGGTCTACGGCGACAAGACAGCAAGAGGGATCGGCTCTTGGTGTTTCAGGGTCTTTGGTCTGGGAGTGCTTTCTAGGGGTTCCTCTTCGGGTTTGCAAGGGTAAGGGTCTTGGGGGTTCAGCTTCTGAAGGACGTCGACTTCCTCTTAGCACGGCAGTAGGTACACTTAAACCTTTTTGGGGTAGTATACTCCCGCGATAATCGCAACAGTTCACAAGGTGAGCCTCCCGTACGACAATGGACCATTAAGTGGAGCTGGAAGTAGGGAGGTTCTTAGGTTATTTTCGTGGGCTCTTGCATTTATCTTGATCAGATTTTTGGATCCGAGAAGCTATATGTAACTTTCAGTGTTAACCTTTACTGGTTCCCCCCAGGAAACTGGAGAAGTAAGCTAGGGTTTAGGGCCTAAGGTTTAGGGGTTGCTGTGTAGGGTTTAGGGTTAAGAGTTGAACTTTTAATGCCAGTACTATCCCTTGGGGTTCGCCACGGCTAATTCGACTATAACGTACTGCGAAACCTTATTTACTCAGGCCCCTATACCCTAAATCCCTTGTTATAGGAAACCTTATAGTAAACTCAGCCCTTAAAGAGGAACCCTGTAAAGGAGCCCCTAAAGATCCCTTAAAGGCAGCCCAAAAGGAGCCCTCGTCTCACTACTAAGGCGGTTTAAGGTTTCAGTAGCCTAGGGAGGCACCCCCTGTGCTGCAACGGTGCTTTCCGGGAGCTGTCTCTCTTCTTTTTTTCAGAGGTTTTTACGGAAACTCAAGCACAGAAGAGCAGTTTAGGGAGCTTATACCATATAAACCTTAGAAGCTGCCCCCACCCTGTAATAGTGACTATAAGGATGATAGTAGGGCCCTATTATATATTCCTATTATACCACTATATCAGGGTGGGGGCCCCTTCTAACATAGACCCTAGGCCCGACGCCTTTTTTGAAGTTTGGAGTATACGGTCCAGTCCGAGTTTGTTTTCCTAGAAAGGAGGATCCCAGAGACTCCAATATCCCTTAATTAAGGAATATTCCTTAGATCATATTAGGGATCCTATTATAATTTAAGGAATATTCCCTAATTCAGGGATATTGGAGTCTCTGGGATCCTGGCTACCGAGGTGAGCGCCGACGCGGACCAGCTGGCAAAGGCAATGAGAACTGGTGACGAGCGCTGTCACCGGCTTTTTAATGAGAATGCCTCTCTCACCAAGAGTGCAGGGACTTGGTTTCAGGATTTAGTGAAAGTCAGTTTGGGGACTTAGGGGGGATTAGGGTTAGGCTCTGTAGACGAGGACCTGCAGAATAAGGGTTTGGGCTGAAGACTTAGCGCCCATTTTGTGCAGCATGTGGATGCACAAGCCAGAACATCATGCTTGGGCGAGCTTCAAATGGGAGTTTCCGAAAACAGGGGACACTAATCTAGTACCCTAAATAGTAGGATCCTTATTATAAGGACCCTAAAATAAGGTACCCCTAATTTTCGGAAAATCCCAAATCTCCAAAGCCTTGCTCGGCTGTTGCAGAGCTTCAGACGAGCAGATTTTCCTTCATGAAAAAAGGCTTTGAATCCCTGAAAACCCAAAGGGTCCTATGTAGCCTAGACCCTGGGTTTAGGGGTTTAGGGTTTTGGGGTTTAGGCTTTAGGGTTTAGGGTTTTAGGGTTTAGGGGTTTAGGGTTTAGGGTCCTACTTGGAAGGGCAGGGGACTTAGTAAGTAGGTTATAAGTAGAGTTATAAGTACCCTAAATGGAGTTACCCCAATTATAACCCTACTTGTAACCTACTTACTAAGTCCCCTGCCCTTCCAAGTAGGTAGTGTTATGGGGGATACTTTCCTGGATCATAATAGTAATTCCTAATATAGAAACCCTACATTCTACCATGCAGGTACTTAGAACCCTTTGGGAAAAGTTCCCGGCGGACCTCGTTTGTGGACCCTGACCTCGGCGCCCAACTTGCTGCTTGCAGATGTACGCTTGCACGCGGCCGTTTCCATGCAGGATTTCAAAGTTTCCTTGTGGTGGCCTCATACCAGAGTCAGACGCAACACGGGTTCGTCTCTCAGCCCAACAGCCTTATAAGCATTCTTGATTTGAGGGGTCCCTAAAACCCTTAAACTCTAGACCCTACACCCTTACATCCTTAGCCCTAAGCTCCTAAGCCCCTAAGCCCCGAAGGCCTATAGACGGGTCCACAGTTCTTCGCACGATTTTCGGATGTAGCCTCAGCCCGCTGCGATGGCAGCCGATGTGGTGAGCGCCCATGCCGACAAGAACTCACTGGCATCGCAGGCCGACAGGGGTTAAGGGTTTAAGATTTAAGTGAATCCTGCAGAAATGGGGGGCCCCTGTTGTTCCAAGCCGATGATTTGTGGATTGTCATGGGGGCCCCAGGGCGTCCCACCCTCCTGAAAGGAGGCCTAGACCCGAAACCTTCAGCCCTAAACTCTAGAAACCCTACGCTCTTCGCCTGAACCTTGTGCCCGCAATACGTGCGCACCCCCGCACCCTAAACCCTCAAACCCCAAACCCTAAACCCTCAACTTTAAACCCTTAAACCCTGAGCCCTAAACCCGAAACTTCAAAACCGAGCCAAAGATACAGTTTTGTCACGGGTTTTGAAAGCCCGGCTGCTGCTTTGTATAGGTGCTGGAAGCCTCACTCAGCGCCTTGGCGGAACTCTGAGTATCTTGGGGTGGCCTTTCATTGTTTACTCAGATCCCCAATACCCAACCTTTAAACTTTTTGGGTTCTTGTATTTTATTAGGAGTCGAAAAGTTTGACCTTTCTTTTCAGTGGCTATTTGGGGGAGTAGGTTTAGGGGTTTGGGGTTTTGGGTTTGGGGTTTTGGCTTTTGGGTTTTGGAGTTTGAGAACTTCTCGGGTTGTGTTGGGGTTTAAGGGTTCAGCGTTTGGGACGTAGGGTTTGGGGTTACGGGTTTTGGCTTTCGGGTTTAGGACTTCGGGGTTTTCGAGGTTTGTGTATGTGTGCGCGTTTGTTTACAAGGGTTTAAGTACACTAACTACTTGAAGGCTTATGGGACTTAGTAAGTAAGGTTATAAGTAGGCTATAGTTAGGATAACCCCACTTAGGGGACTTATAACCCCAATTATAACCTACTTACTAAGCCCCATGATCCTCTAAGTAGGGATCTTTTACCTGGGGGCTTGGCTCGGTGTCCATTCGCCTTTGGGATTTGTGGGTTTACGAGTTGAGGCGCCCAAAGAAAGGATCAACTAAGGTACCCTCTTCAAGGGGTGCCGAATAGTAGAAGTATGAAGGACATCTACACTACTTAATTTCCCAAGTCTTGGGTTTTGAAGGTCTCGGGTTTTGGTTCCTGAGGATTTCGGGCTCTAGACCCCAAACCCAAACCCCTCAACCCTAAGCCCTAAACCCAAACCCCTAAACCTTAAGCCCTAAACCCTAAACCAGCACAAAAAAAAAAACCCTAAACCGTGGCTCTGTCAAGCTTTCGCAAACTAGACTTTCAGGCGGAGGATTTTCTGACTTTGCCTTCAGAGATCGGGGGGGCTTTTTGCGAAGGCAGGGTTCGACGTCTCCAAAGGGTTCAGGGTTTAGGGTTCAGGGTTTAGGGTTTAGGGTTTAGGGTTCAGGGTTTGGAGTTTAGGGTTAAGGGTTCAGGGTTAAGGCTTTAGGGCTTAGGGTTAAGGGCCAAGGGCGTAGGCTCAGTTGCCCAAAGGGTTGTCGCGTTCTTTCAGGGTTCCAGAGACGCCTTAAAATGTGGGGAACTACCAGCCCTTCCTTCAGCACCCACCCCCCAAGCCCCAAAACCTACTTGAAGGCTCATGGGACTTAGTAAGTAGGGTTCTAAGTAGGTTATAATTAGGATAATCCCACTTAGGGAACTTATAACCCCAATTATAACCTACTTATGATCCTCTAAGTAGCACCCCAAGCCCACAATCTGAACCCTTGAACCTTAAACGGAAACAAAAAACCCTTTGCTTTTACCCACTAAAATCAATCCCGACTTCCTCAAGCCCGCAGCCTCATAAGCCCTGGACTTTCGAAGACTCTGAACTTCTTACCCTAAGGGTCCAAGTACTCAGTGTTACAGGACTTTTGGGCCTTTTCGGCACCAAAAACCATAAATAAGGACTACTTGGACCCTTAGGGTTAACAGAGCTCAGCAGCCCGGCTGTGAAGCGGCGAAGGAGAAGAGAAAGATGCCAGGGAGAAGCTCGAGAAGTTGGTGGAGGTCCAGCAAGTGCAGGTCCGGAAGCTATAGGGCTTTAGGGTTAAGGAATAGGGTTTAGGGTGTAGGGTTTAAGGTCTAGGGATTTAGGGTTAAGGAATAGGGTTTAGGGTGTATGCATTCAACCTTCCCATGTCAGTGTTCGGGGTTAGGAGTTAGGGTTCAGGTTCAGGGTTTCGTTTAGGATATTCAGTGTGCTTAGGGTGTTGAGGGTGTTCCGCGTGTTGCAGTGTCTAAGGTGTTGAGGGCTTAAGTTGCAGGGTGCAGGGTGTCTGCCGAGTCGGATGTTCACATCCGACATCGTCCGACCTTCCCATTTTGTCGTGCTTCATTTGATTTCGCAAGATGCGTAAGCACATGGGTCATGGGGTTGGTTTCGTGGATACTACGTAGATGTGCTGAGGCTCCCACTTCCCTTCTGGGGCTTCGGATTCTTCCCCTCACCCAGGAACAAACCCAGAGACTCCAATACCCCTTAATTAAGGAATATACCTTAAATTATAGTAGGATCCTTAATATGATTTAAGGAATATTCCATAATTTATGGGTATTGGAGTCTCTGGGAGCCCTTCACCAGTGCTGGTTGCAAATTGCCGAAGCCTGTCCCTTCAACCTCAAACCTTGAACAAGCTTAACGCTAAATCCTGAGATTGAGACCTAGCCGCTTAAACCCTATACCCTTAACCCCAACCCCCCCTAAACCCTAAACCCTGAGCCCTAAACCCTAAATCCTATACTAAACCTAAACCTGGGTTGTGCTTTGGGAAAATTTTTAGTTTCCCTTATTTCCTTATAAAGGGGACCTATTCATAAATAATTTTCAAAGGGTTTAAAGCACAACCCAGAAACCCCAAACCCTGGCAGACTCCACCCTGCCCGCAGGTTGAGCTGTACAGGAGCCTGAAAATGAAATTAGAGGCTGCGTCTCTGCTCTTAGGGTTTGCTCAGGGTTTA